AAAAGTCAGAGAGCGGGGATAGGTCGGGTCCCGTGTCGCTTGCTTGAGGGTGAATGCACAGTATGTACAACGTATACGTACATACATATACATATATGTGTACATATAGACATACACATAGAAGTATTACATCGCAAGTATTATTACCATGACTAACACTTTTATCTTTGTGGCTTGAAACGAAGTAACGCTCGCGCACTTGGTAAAGGACGAAGGGCTTGAAAAAGACAGAGAAGAGATAGAGAGAAAGAGAAAGAGAGAAAGAGAAAGAGAGAAACAGAAAACGAGTCCATGAGCAAGGAAGCATAACGAGGAAAGGAGTGAGGGACTGTGATCGAAAGAGGGAGGCGCCGGTAGGATTGGATGGCTCGTCTAAAGAAGAAGAAGAAGAAGAAGAAGAAGAAGAAGAAGAAACTTATACCTATATTGTGTTTGGATACAATACATATACATACATATGTATATATCTACCTATTTATGTGTATGTAATATGTATGATAATAATGTATATGAACGTATTCGTATAATGTGAACGAACTGTCTCTATCTATGGATATATATTATTTTAAATACGTATATGTATAATATTAATGAAATCTATATACCTATTGTATACATATTTAGATGAATTCGCATGTATGCATATTATCGTATTATTAATGTATGCATGTAAGTATTAATGTACTTATACATTTGTATTGTATACATGTAAGTATAATATTTTTTTAGATATGATGAGTAATATCTGTTCGTGCATGTATATATATATATATTTTTATATGAATACATATAAAGTACATATGAGTATATAAATTGATGCATAGATACTCTTATGTGTATTGTATATATGAATATTTTTATATATATATATACATATGTATGTATTTTCTACATGGACGCGTACAAGTGTATAAGTTAATGTTTATGCAGCATACTAGGTACCCTTATCTCTATTGTAGGATATGTATTAAATTAATATGTATATTCTATACAAATATGTATGAGTGTATTTGTGTGTGCATATAGGCAACCCTTATATATATTTTATATAATATATATATTTTTTTTTCTATATGGATAAATAATGTAAGTGTGTGTGTGTTTGAACGATACGGTGGAATAGTGGGAGGGAGGTTTATGGTGGGGAGATGGGGTTAGATCCGTGGCTCTGGCTCGGGTCGTGCCTCGCGTTAGTTGACTTTCGCTCCTCGAAACGCGTCGGCGCGTCGCGTTTCCTTTTGCACGACGACGCCAGTAGCGCAACCTTTCCTCCCTCGGCTGGTCGTCGTCGTCGTTGTTCGTTGTTCGTTGTCATTATCGTTTTCGTCGTCTTCGTCGTAGTCGTCGTCATCGTCATCGTCATCGTCGTCTTCGTTTTTGTCGTCGGTGTCTTAATTATTCTAATTGTTAATCGGTCCCTTCGAATTGAATCCTATCATTTTTGTTTATTTGTTTCTTCTTCTTTTTTCTTTTCTTTTTTTTTTGCGGGGGTTTTTTTTCATAGTAAAAACAAATCCTTTGCGCAGTTGGTGGATTTGGCAAAGGTCAAAGGTCGTGCGTACACCGTGTGGCCTCCTTGCACGATTTGCGTTCCCTTTTTGTATATATCCGTCTCTCTCTCTCTTTTCTCTTGCACATGCACACATCACATATTATACACCACGCATGCACACACACTAGCGTTTCTTCGTTGCGTCCTACGCTCTTTTACACACACGTTCGCGAGCGAGCGCGGTTAAGGCAAGGAGGAAGGAAGTGCGAGTGAGTTCACAAGAGAGTGGAAAAGAAAGAGAAAGATAGTTAGACGGATAGAGAGACATAAAGAAAGAGAAAGAGAGAGGGAGGGAGGGAGGGAGGTAGGAAAAGAAAAGAAAAAAGATAGGTAGATAGAGAGAGAGAGAGAGAGAGAGAAAGAGAAAGAAAAAACTTACTCCCTCACGCAATTTCCTACGAGCACATAAACGCCGGACTCGATTTCCTTGAGCGTCCATCGTCCTGATTTTCACTGGATGAGATCGAATTGTCGATAAAAAGGAAATAAATATTCTATGAGAGTATTCTAACTTTTTTTTTAGTTATTCCATCGTGTGATCTTTATTTCTCTATACTGAAATTATCAAAATATACAAAAAAATAAAATTAAAACAAAGTAAAAGAATAAGAACAATAAGAAGAGATCAAGAGACGTGCTAGAAGAAGAATAAATATCTCGATGATAATAAATATAAGAAAATTATCTTCATTATCGATATCACGTTGATAAGTTAATGAATTACATAAGCACGTTGACCTACCCAGGAAAAAAAATCATAGATCATCTATATATATCTATCTATCTATCTACACACCTAAGTACCTATGTATATATATTTAATTATGTATATATAGGTCATCATCAATAGAGAAAATTTCCAAGGAAGGTCGTCGAAAACGATCGTTCGTTCGTTTGTTCGTTGGTTCGTTGGTTGCTGCTGGTTATACATACGCACGTCTGCCGATGTAGTTAAGGCAAACGTTTATCGATCGGTCGTCTTAGATGCCAACAACAACGACTAACACGATGAAATAAAAGGTCTTGTCTGTGTGTACTCTGGAATCCTTTAAGACAGAATAGTCAACATTTTCTCAATAGTCCTTATCTTATTAACCCCCTTTTTGGCGCAACATAATGATAAGAGAAGGGAAGACAAAGAAGTGGTGGATAGATCAACGGATTGTGATTGTCAGAAAGAAGAAGGATCACCGATTGAACGATCAAGATCATCATCATCATCATCATCATCATCATCATCATTATCATCATCGTACTCGTCGTTGTTTCGTGATGATGAGTCCTCGAGCATGCTTGAGCAGCTTTTAGCCACATATATCTGTCCGTTTCTATCTCTGTCTTACACACATACACACACATATACATTCTCTCTCTCTCTTTCTATTTCTATCTATCTTTCTCTCTCTCTCTCTCTCTTACTCACTCTCTGTCAGACTGGTAATATACACTCGTCGTCAACGTCCGGCGTTTAGTATGAATCGAGGAGAGAGGAAATGACGACTACGGTACCTCGAGAGAAGAGAAGAAGGGACCAAATATTCATGGAGATTGCTACCAAGTTACAACGGAGCTGATTTTGTTATTTTTTTCTTCCGTTTTGTTGAATGGATTTTTGTTTGTTTAATTATCAACGAAGGGACCACGTACTTTATTCTAATTCAAATAGAATTTAAATTTATATTTTGAAAAACAAATAATATTACCGATCTCTACGTTGTATCCAATCGAGGAATCAACATGATGGATTGGGGAATAAGACGTAAGTTTGTTATTTGGATTGCGAACAGAGATCGAATAAAAATCCTCTTCAACCTTGAAGATTTTATTTTTAAGACTTGCTATCATATTCTTCTCGGGCTGAAGGGGAGTTATTTCTTGTTTCAATATCTTATTTCTTTTTTTTTTTTTTTTGTAATGCTTTCCTTTTCTTTCATTTTATTTCATGCAATTTGCGCGAATGGGGCTCTTGGGTTCGGGCATCCCATCCCTCCATCTTTATTTTCGCGTCATTGCCCTTACTTTCCCTCGCTCGTCTTCCTCTTTAATTAATTCGGATAACCGATGTCTCATTGTATACTACTTCTTTCTCTCTCTCTCTCTCTCTCTTTCTTCCTCAATTTTATTCTCATTTTATTTCTTTTTGTTTCTTCTTTTCCACCGTTTAAAACAATAGACAATTGTGTTGAAGTTTGCGCAGCGTACGATATGAGATCTTTTGGGACGTTCCTTCGTGATCATCCTCGGCATGTTTATATAATATTCATACATATGTAATAAAGAAGTAGAAGAAGAATAGAAAAAGAAAAAAATAAGTATTACAATGACTATGCTAAATGTCTGTCTTTTACCGTTTTATTTCGATCCATGAAGACTCTGATAGCCAGTTCTCAACTTTTCTTCTTCTTCTTATTATTATTATTATTATTTTTCTTTTTCTTCTTTTTTTTTTCTCTCTTTACTTTTTATTTTTACCGGCCCAGTCTAAAGCTCGTATGCATGAGAGAAGGATTCCGAGATAAAAGACTAAATATATGTGAACGATTTCCCCTCTTTAGTAGAACGAGATGAGATATATACGCCTTTTCTCCGGTCAAGTATAGCAACTGAAGAACGATGTTCATTGAACAGGGGAACGAACGCTTTTTCTCCATGTATTTACGTTAACATTTTATATCCGTTTACTTTGATATCATATATATTTTATGTGTGTGTAGTTACTGAAATTATTTTCTTTTATCTTCTTGTATATGGTGTTTTCATTAAATTAATTCCTATTTGATAATTAATGTTTTGTATATTGTTAAACAATTTAGTATAATTTTTATTACGGTTATGATATTTATTATTAATAGTATATTATTATAATTGAATTAAGTAAATATAATATATTATAAAATATTGTTTATAGTAGTAAAACATACGATAATATTTAGTAATGTAATTTAAATTATACTAATTTATAATACAAGTTATATTGATATAAAATACTAGTAATTTATATCAGTGCAAAATATTTTAAACTTAACGTACAAAATTTGTATCACTATTACGAAAACCTGAATTTGGGTTTTATAACATATCAATAGAAACATAAATATGTAAATTATTTTCATTTATGTTTTTGTTTTCTCAACTTTAGGATCAATCATGTTTCATGTGAGGAGGAGACCGGCAGATTATGTGCCTCGTAAACGTAAAAAGAAACCTTCTGGAAAATGGAACGAGTTAGATCACAGGTATTGTTTAATAAACATTGATATTTATTATAATTGTTAACAAATTTGTTCATGTATTTGTTCATTCTAATTCTTAGATACGAAGACGAGAGATTACCATTTCTATTAGAATTGAATCCAGACGGTACTGATATTCCTAACGGAGCGGGTGTCAGATATCGTTTGCAACCGAACGTGACGGAAGTTGGATCCGAACGACCCTTCGGTCCACAAGGCGTGCAATCACAAACTTTGACTCTCAGTGGGCCTACCGTTATGCCAAGGCATTGCGTTATAGCGTTTACGGAAAATATCGTCACACTGACGCCATGCTCAAGGGACGCTCATACTTTTGTGAACAATCAACGAATACATCAGACTACCATACTTCAAGTACGTTCCCTGTTGAATCTCGATTAAATCATTAGTGGGGAAAGCTAAGTCATCGTCGTTGCTGGAATGTTAATTGAATATGAAATAGAAATTTTTTTCAACTCTTTTTTTTTAATATAATCTTATTAACTGAGATAGTCATATAGAATGTATCTACACAAAAAATCTAACCATGAATAGTAGAGTCTGTTAGAACTTATCAAAACAGTTTCTTTTGAATTAATCGAATAGAACTTTTGAGAAAGAAAAAAGAACTATATAATATTGAGTATCAAGAACTGGTAAAACTACTGTTTGTTTCTCTCAAGGGGAATTATAAAAAATAAATCAATAGTTTATAAGAATATAAGTTTACCTGTATGAAGAACTTTAGATTGGGGGTAAAAGAGAATATAAGTTTTCTTTCTTTTCTGAACAATTTTAAAAAAAGATTGTCCAACTTCTTCGTACAAGGAAAAATGTTTTTATATATGTTTGATATTTATATGTCTCTTTCCCCGTGTTTAGAACGGAGCTATCATCAAGTTCGGAAGAATGCATACCTTCAGATTCATCGACCCCGCACCCGACGACCGTATCAGGCAACGTCATGACTCCAATAGACAGATCGAGTATGCATACGACCGGTGAGTTGAGCGATAGATTTACGAGCCCTCTTCTTGCATACACTTATACTAATATACCGATAGATTAGATCAGTACTTCTCAAAGTACGCGTATGATTTATTGACTCATAAGTTCTTATCTAATATAATTTTCATTTTTAATATTTAAATAAAGCAAAAAAACGCTTGATAAATGTAACTGAGATCAAATCTTAAAAATCTCTTGATCATTTATCTAAATAATCTTAAATAAAATGAATATCTATCTTTGAGAACCACTGAATTAGCTATAGATACTTAGAGTATAGCTCGAGTTTCTCCTACTACGAGCATCGTTTGCTTTAGATTGTTTTCTTAGTTATAGATCGCTTCGTCCACGCATACCATGTACATAAATTTCGTTTTTAGTTATATTTTTTTTCTATCTTTCTCTCTCTCTCTCTCTCTCTCTCTCTCTCTCTCTCTCTCTCTTTCTCTCTCTTTCTCTTTCTCTTTCTCGCGCGCGCGCTTAGTCCATTTTTTTAGTTTTGCTTTGTCTTTTGTCTTTCGCACGCGCCGTGGCTGCTTGTCTATCGTAGACGATCGCCAGATGCTACCAGCCAAGAAGCAAATTCGGACAAGTACAGATCAGGTTCTGGATCCCCAAACGGTGGACACCCACAGAGTCCTGGTCAAACTTCGAATCCTCCGAGTCCCACTAAATCTTCGGCAGCTAGCACATCGCGTAGTCCCACGCACGGTACTCACGCACAAGAGGTGACTCACAATTATGAAACGACCTTCGACCTGGACGGCAATGTGGAAACTGCGAGTTTGACGAGTAGTAGAGATGGCAACAGGTAACCTGGATGGCGAACGTTTAAATTGATTCATCCGTTAAGAGCTGTTATTATTAGCTGCTAGCTTTTTGATTCTCTATTTTAAATCAAAACTTTAAACAACAGCAACAAAAAAAGAACGTAATTAATTGTTATACATCAAAATCTAATCGTTTTGCTTGCCATTATTTAAAAATTTTTAGCTGATTATACACGAACATGTTCATTTCTTTTTTATTTTTTTTTCCTTTTTTTCTTTTTATGTACATATTTATATACATATATATAAATATGTTAATGATCGGTTATATGAACGAAATAACATTTGATGAATCAACAGGCATCCCCAATACGATAATCAACCACGAGGAACGGACCCTATTCTACCAGCAGTATTGGAATTTTTAGAAGATACGGAAGAAGCGTTTCTACGTGCTGTCATCACCGACGTAGATCCTTCAGCGCCGCAATTCAAACTAGCACCGACTTATACTCTATATCTGTCTGCTAGATATCGTGCTAGCACTCATTACAGACCGGAATTACAACCTATCGAAAGAGCACACCGTTTGACTGTGATGCTTACGAATATTGCCTTGATGATACAAGGAGTTATTCAGGTAAAATGTTTTTAATAAAACTTTAAACTATTTTCTATAACAAGAATAATTCAATCTGAAGCACAAAAGAAACATTTTGATGGATTCATTAAAATTTAAGAATTCTTTGGAATAACTGAATAATTTGTATTTATTTCTAATATATAGGAACGATATATGGATGCGTCTTCCTTGGCATTCTGGCTCGCAAATGGTTCCGAATTATTGCACATGCTGAAAAGTGATCGTCACGTAGGAGCATTTTCAACGAGAGCTCAAGATATCCTAGCTGATGCCGTTCACGCTGCATTCGCATCCCTCGTACATTGCGTTTCCCTAGAGTTGACACCAGCAATGTCGCAATTCATGGCAGACGCTGATGAACCTGCTAAAGAAGCTGGTGTGCTACAAATATTTTCCAATACGATGGCTCTGTTAAGACGTTGTCGAGTTAATGCAGCATTGACCATCCAACTGTTCAGTCATCTTTTTCACGCGATCAACGCAATCGCTTTCAACGCTCTAGTTTCTAACGGAAATCTCTGCGTCCGGTGGTTTGGTCGAAGATTAAAAGCAAGGCTCAATGCTTTAGAAACGTGGGCTGAGAGACAGGGTCTTGAATTAGCCAGTCAATGTCATTTAGCTACGATCATGCAAGCTACGCATCTTCTCCAAGCACCAAAATATAACGCCGAAGAATTGGCTACGTTGAGCTCGACTTGTTTTAAATTAAACTCGTTACAAGTAAGAGCGTTGTTACAAAAGTATCAGCCAGCTGCCGATGAACCAAGACTTCCTGCCGAACTCATTGAAAACGTTGTCAGAGTAAGTATTTTCATTTAATATTTACTTCCTCAATTAACGTTATGAAGTGGTTACATAAACATGTTTTATTTGTTATAAAGGTAGCCGAAAGTGTCGCTGATACACTTGCTCGTGCCGACGGACGTGAAATACGTTTGGAAGAAGAATCCACCTTGGCGTTAGCTTTGCTATTGCCAGAGGATGGTTATAGTTGCGAGGTAATAAGAGGTGTACCACCAGGATTGGTTGAATTTCTATCACCCTTACAACAAGAAGGTTTGTGTCGAATGGCACCTCAACCTACTAGTAGTGGTTACTGGACTATCTATATGATAGATCATCATACGAACGTGTGTATCTTAATTCATTTATTATCATCTTGCTGTTCACGTTTTATCACACGATTGTGTATAAAGGACAACTTTTATATTCGTAGTTACGTAGTCCAAGTGCGATGAGTAATAGATCAGGTGGCTACACTGGACATGTCGGACAGAACCAAGGTCAACCAGAGATACATATTATAAAATTGCATAAGTCGACCAATGGCATGGGTTTGAGTATCGTTGCTGCTAAGGTATGATAAGTTTATAGGAATATAGTAAGGTTTATTAATTGTCTAGTGAGTTTTACTTATCAAAATTTATTACGCAGGGTGCTGGTCAAGACAGATTAGGGATTTATATTAAAAGTGTCGTTGCCGGAGGAGCAGCAGATGCGGTAAATATTTTATTTCTCAACCTGCTTTTTTATTTTTTAAAAAGTCACATAAAATTTCTAATTTTTTATATCATATTTTTAGGATGGAAGGCTAGCTGCTGGCGATCAATTACTTAAAGTAGACGGTCAAAGTTTAGTTGGAATAACACAAGAAAAGTGAGTGAGAAATCATATTAAGAGTTAATATGAAATTTAATGATTATTCTAACAATCATTTGTTTCTTTAATTTTACTTTATCTTCACTGTATTATAAATCAGAGCTGCGGAGTATCTTGTTCGAACGGGCCCAACAGTGACTTTGGAAGTTGCTAAACAAGGCGCGATATATCATGGACTTGCTACTTTATTATCTCAACCATCTCCCATAATGACGAGGGGTATGTATGTTAAAATATTTTAATATTCTACTGATTAATTTGAAGGGAACGGTGCGTCCAAACAACTACGTCAAGTATGATCTATAATTTAATATAAAAATAAATGATTAAAATCTTCTTTTATAAATATCAAATATTCACACTACTACATTGTAAAAAAAATCAACAATCGCTTCGCTTATGTTCTAAACAGCTTTACTAACGCTTAACTAACCTATTGTTTGGAGCAGCACATAAGGCCAGGCCAAAGTCAGAACACATAAAACCCCCCGCTAGACCTCCGGAAGTGTCCGTGCCAGCATCTACGTCACACTCGATGGGCAATCTCTTGTCCGTACCATTGCAGGGTGCTCCTACTCCTCCTCAAGAACACTACGTTGGCTGGGACGTAGAACAATCCACATTACCAGGTGCGACAGCTTCACAACTTCCCAAAACTAACTTGTACCTTAACGAATACGAGCGTCGCTCTCTCAGTCCTTCGCCCTCTTATCCATTAACGCAGAATCCGCATCAATGGCGTAATAATTTCGTGAAGACGCGATCAGCATCTGTTTATCCGGTCAGAGAAATCTGCAACAGGTTTAACGAAGAACGAATGCCAATACCGGGAAATTGGCAAACTTTATCAACTATTCCTATTATCCAAGAACCCGAAGGAATACGATTATCGATACCTTGTCATTTTCAAAGACAATGTCCTCATGAAATCGAAAATAGTTTTAATTTTCCTGATACCATTGTACCAACAACATGCGAACATCAAAATAAGAGCATGTCCGGGTTAACTTTTAAACAAATTGATGATACTAATGAGGATCATACGATTGAAAATCATTGGACTTGTCCTTTTCATGGCGATAGTTTTGTGAAAAGAGTCGATACAACTCCGAACGTGTGTTTATCCTCGATTCCTTTCGGCGAAGAATGCTTCGATTCTATTCCTTACATCGATCAGACTGATGATAATTATCCAGATGATGAATCTGAAGAAAATGAAGAATATAAGGGTGAAGAGAAGGAGCATGCTATGTTGTACAATGATACTCCGCAAGATAAAACAAGTAATCCAAAGTCGCGTAACGATTTATTTTATTCCTCTACCGGATTTAAGGATCCTCATGCTCATGAGTTAGGAGCTCGAGTAGAAATATCAGGCATCATATCGAAACATCAATGTTACACGGTTTGTCAATGTTCCTTAAACTCAAGAAAAAGTACTGAAAGTCAAACTAGCAACGTCGATGATTCACCGAAACTTAGTGTATCGTCCAAGAAATTATCTTCTAACGAGCTCGAAAGTAACAGCGATAATGACGATGAAAATTATTCTAATGTTTTTACGGATACCACGGACCAAAACGATGAACAAGAATTGAGTACTTCGGAATTAATTTCGAAAGACGAAGAGATAATAACACCTGAATTAATTCTTGATTTAAGTGGAATGAACGATGACGCAGTTTCCAGTGACACGTCGAGTACAGGAAAATTTTGGAAATCGCCTGACGAAGTACGTTTAGGTTGTGGAAGAGTAGCAACCTTGGCTAAACATTTTTCAGCTTTAGGGGATGGTGGATTAATTAAAATGAAGTCTATGAAGTTGACACATTCCAGACAATTTGCTTCGGAACCCGACATTACATCACCAAGAAGTTCAACAACCGAAGTACGTGGATCAGCTAATGGTAAAATGTTCAAATCGGAATCTGATTTATGTTACGAGGACAAGAGTACTCAAGTGTCACCTGAAAGACAATACAATGTTTATATCCATGACACCAACGTGACAATTAGAGACAAACAAATGAAATTGTCATTAGAAGAGCAACGACATATTATCGAACAAATCGAAGAATTTTCTAATCTCGATAACACTGATGCACCTTTGTGTTTACCTCAAGAAAATCAAATAGACGATTCCGTAGAAAATTCCGAGATATCTAGTAAATCGTTGAATAAATCTGTAATCAATGGTACCGAATCAGAATTGGAACAATCAAAAAAATCACAAAACTTGTCAACGTCCTCGTTGAACATAGAATCTTTAAATAATTCTTCCTCGCAGCAACAAGAAACGAAACGTAAAAAACGTGGAACCTGCAAGTTAGCACGGTGCTGTTCTCTAAAAGAATTATCGTCATCGGATCAATTGAAAAACGATAAAATTAATATGACCCCAGCACTTAGAAAATATTTCGTTTTTCCAGTACGTTCTAATAAAGTGGTATCGGCGCCAGATATCTCGAAGAAATCTACCGCTATGCTCTATCTACGTTTAATAAAACATCATCACAATAATGAGGGTAATTTTACGGTTCACGGTACTCTATCAATTGGAAAGAAGGAAGAAGAACAAGAAGAAGTAGAAGAAGAAAAAGAAAAAAAATATAAGGGGTCTTTAGGAAGCACGAATGGTCTCGATTCAAATTCTTCTCTTTCACGGTCATCAAAGTTATCATTCAGTTGGGAAAATTTGCAAAGTGAGAAAAGTAGGATTAATCGTAAAAAACGTCAAGCCCCTTTGCTTAATGGACGGTGTTTGTCGAAGAGTTATCAAGAGATTCATAAAAAAAATACTACCTTTCAAAAAGATTATGACAGTCAAACGTCGAAAAAACTTACATGTCGTAGTTGTTCAACGAGCACGTCTTCACAACAAAAAGAATCAAAAGATGATATTCGTATTGTCGACAATACAACGACCATAGACATCGAAGGAAATGTATATTTTGGTAGAATGTGTAAAAACAAAGCAAAATCATCGTCAATAACTCGTTCGATCGATCGGAATTCATTAAATATCGTTAAAAAATCAAAAAGTGATCCGGACATCTCACAATCTAAATCAACGTCCAGATCCAGAAAGGAGAAACGAGATATTCATGTATTTCCATCGATGGAAATCGGTTCCGCTTCGCGTAAGCAGGCACAAATTACATCGTTCATAAGATTTATGTTGTCTTTCGTTCGATACAGTTACTGCACTTATTTTTTTTTCTCCCCATTTGGTTTCACGTTACAGAAACTACAAATTGCTTTTTATGATTAAGTCCTTTTTTTTTTATTCCAATTCCCAATTGAAAAAGATGCACTAAATTTCAATAATTTATCCTAGTTCCTATAATTTATATTTTATTTACATATTTTTCTTAAGATGTTTTATTATTATAGGTTCTATTATTATTATTATTATTATTATAATTATTATCATTATTATTTATGATGATTTAATATTTTTCGTCGTTTGACAAAAATAAAATACGTTCGCTTTTCATAATGCATCTGCATTTTGTTATGCATCGTACGTGTTTTCTTAAAACATTTGCACGAAAATGCAAGAAATTAGAATCTTTCGTTCTCACTGTTTAGGATTAGTCCTATAATTACCATTGTTTAAGTCTGTTGCGGCTATGAAACGTGCTCTTCTAGATCAGATCGTTTACACAAAGTACTTTTATCTAAAACCAGTTGCCATTTACTAACGATTCATTCTCATGTATATACATGTATATATGAACAGTACAATCAAATGTTCTGATATGTCTTGTTGCTTGCATGTTATACTGATTTCATTTTATAAATAGTAACATTTATAATATGATTTAGTATGATATGTATAACAGCAAAGATAAAAATAATAATATCATGAAAAAAAAAATAATGTATATAACAATCATTGTAACTATAATTTTTGATGTGGGAAAACGAAATCAGGAACAAAAAAAATATTTTATTCGCATGTTTACCTAGATGCATGTAATTTTATGTTAAATCATATGCCACGTGCAAAAATGTGCAGTGCTGTTGTGTTAATTTTTAATAATGTTTTGTTTGTGCATCTTGTGCTATCTCGCAGGGCCTCGCCGCATGAGCGAACGTGATCTTTCATCTAGACTTGGACGTGAAACGATTCCCCAACAAATTCATAGCAGCAAATCCGTCCCAGCCTTGCACAGTAAGTAATCCCTGACGTGGTTCTTCAAAAAGATTTTCCAAATTTCTTATTTACAAATTATTCAAAATAATATTTGTATAAATACAAAAGATGATACATTTGAAAAACCCAAATTTATTCGAAAATGATGATATTGGAACGATCATGTCGATTATCTTTACTGGCTTGCAAATCTTTGCTTTCCCGGTCTAGCGATCACTGCTTTTGTTTTTTTTTTGTGAGATAGAACCAACTCAGGAAAGTGTGAGTTAATCATTTGCATAATCACCCTGATTGTGAGTCATACACTCAGCTTTTCTCTCTACACTATTTCATACTGCTTATCACATTTACATATTCAAGCACCAGATCACATATTATAGACAAATTTTATCAATAAATTAATGAAAACGAATGAGGAAGGATTTGATCGATTATAATCAAATTTTAATACACTTTTAATGCTTATGAGTACGTTTTGATGTCAACATTAATTCGAAAGATTGTGATGTAGATATGGGTGCTGAAGGAAAACAACAACATGAAATCTTCAATCCAGGGTATAGTAGAGCATCTTCGAGTAACAGCGTTACACCACCAGTTCAACCATCTCCAATGCCTGCTATGAACGGAGCTTCTTGCCTACGCTCTAGGTAAAATGATTATGCTAATTTTCTTTAATACATTTATTTCGGATAAAAAAGTAAATATTCATTATCTTTAGATCGAGCCATAATTTGCACGATCCAACGAGAATTGGGGCATTACCTCCGAGTGGTTTGGTTAGCAGACAACAATCCTCGCCAAACTTAAACCCAAATCAACCTCATGGATCTTTCCAAAATAATTTACAGAATAACGAAGCCGAAAGATTCTATCAAAACTTGAGCGTTTATAGAAATCAAGATTCAACGGGAAAACAACAGCAGCCAAGTTTATCTCAGCAACATATGGAAGAGAGGTAAACTTCAATAATCTTTCTCGTTTGATTTTCCTACACTTCTGGGTTGATTAATCTATTGAAGACGAGTGCTTTGATATCGTCCAAATTCGATGCTTCATCTCAGTTTATTTTAGGAATACGTTACATACACAACGAAGCTCGAGAGGATCACAAAACTCTCTGAATCGGCCACCGGCGCAAGAATTGAACCAAGGAAGAGATAGACCAATATCTGCTCATATTCCTCAAACTCAACAACAAGGTTATTCTGGTAACCAGATGCAACATCAAAATGCGGTTCCGCCTAGGTCGCAATCATCGCGAGATATAATACGTCAGGAAGCCAAACTTCAAGAAATGCAAGAAGAAGTTAGGAGACGCGAGTTACGCGGTGGTGTACCAATGATCAATCAGTATAGACCAAATACATATAACATGAGACCGGCAAATGCTAATCAAACAGCTGGTATTGTACCTGCTCGTGCTCTTGTTTCGAGACCTTTGGGTTCTACACCTAATTTAGCAACATCGTCAGCAACACGACAACAAATGGGACCAGCGTATGGTCATCCTGATGTTGCATATGCACAGTATGGTCAGTGCAACAAACACCCAACTGCTCAGTATGGGTTGGCATCCAAAGGGAAAGCAGAACAACCACCTCGTCACGTACCAACGATTGAATCCGGAAAGGAATCTCTCGCAGTTCAAGATTCTACTAGATCGCATTATGATCATAATCGCCAATACATGACTTCTCAAAACGGGTCACACTATACTCATGGACCACCTGATCTTAGAAACGATCAGTATTCAAATGAAAATACTACTATGGTTCAAGATAACGTCGAAGGAAATTCTTTTAATGCTACCGAGGTCCCACCAGCAAGACCTGCTCTTCCTGAAGATGGGTATAGGGAAAGCCCACCACCTCCGCCACCTAATACATTAACTCATCCCTTGTATAATAATCAAGCAGATTCGAGGTTACTATTTAATTTTATTTATTTACCTGATATAAAATAAGACATCTATAAATCGTGTATATAATAATATTCGATATATAGATATACCGCAAGTATGCAAGATCCGCCTAGAGGTGGCTATTATCCAGCAAGTGGAACAGGAACAATGCAACAACCTCGTCAATATCAATATAGTGCTAGTAATCCTTGGCAACGTGAAGAACGCGAAAAGGTATATAAAATTCTTTTATATAAAAATATTCTCATATCATTGCACGATCTTATTTCATTCAAATATTATAGGAACAAGCTCGAAGAAGAGAAGCCGCCAGACAATGGCGTGATCAGCAAATTGCCGAATTAAGCGCTTTGCCTCATCGAACACCTCAACAAGACGAACAATTACGTGCTCTTCAATTGGAACGAGATTTCCAAAAAAGAGCAGAAGAAGCCGCCAATCAACAAGATGACGACGACGAATGTAATGACATTGATACTGAGAGTATACCACAGGCTCAAGGTTTATTGAGTGTAGCTAATTCTCAAGAAAGAACGAACACAGCAAGTCAACAACATACATTGTCGAGAGCAAACGTAAATAATCAATCGATAAGAGGTACCCCACCTACATCCCAAACTGTTAGCACTCCACTGTCTCCAAATGCTGCTGGAAATTCGTGCCTAGTACAAAATGATACTTCTGGTTTAATATATATGCAACAACAACAACAACAACAGCAGCAGCAACAACAGCAACAACAACAACAACCACCACAACAACAACCACAACCACAACAACAGCCACAGCAACAGCAACATACCAATCAATCTCAAAATAATACAGGACAGTTACCCAGCTCGTCGAATTATAGTTCCTCTTTGTCTCATATTGGAAATATTCAAAAGACATATACAGCTGCAATGTCTCCAAATAATGAAGAAAGGGAATCACAGCAACGTCGTATTGAAGAAATTAGAAGAAAAGAATTTGATGAAAATCAAAGACAAAGAGAAGAAGAAAGTAGGCATCAACAGCAGCAGCAACAACAGCAACAGCAGCAACATATACAACAGTTATACAAACAACAGCAACAACATATGCAACATTATAGGAATCAACAAGCATTGCATCCAAATATGCTAAGATTAGACAATTTAGTTATCAATGGATCCAATACATCCCCATGTAAGTAAATTGCCACGTACACATGTTTTAATTTTATCTGATTTGACTAAACAAAAAATTGTATCATTTTTATATAGCTTTACAAAATGGAAATACCGATGCACCTCCACCCCCAGAACGCGGATCTAGTTATGCAGTGATGTCTCAACAGAGCGCACTTAGGTCAAACAGTTCGACCTCGTCGAATATTGCCTTAACACCTCTAACATCCTCCACGATCAAGAGGGTGTCCTTTCACGATCCAAACGCAAACACCGAAACAACGCAACGCAATGTTATGTCGGGAAATTTAAATACTTCATCTTCGATGGGCATGGTCACTATTAGAGAAGACCCTAATGTAAGATCTCTTATTTACTAAATAAATCAAAGATAAAGCTATACATATATTTATAATTAGATATATGAGTTTAATGGTATTGAAATCAGATCAATACGAAGAGAAATATCGTAGATCGATTTTTACAAAAGATTAAAATTATAGAGCGTATAGGTGTGAACAAATGTGTAACTTTGCACTAAAATATGCTTATGCACCAAACGGAAAAGAGAAAAAAAGAGCACATATTTGAAATAATGTCACACGTAAAAACACATGAATTAATTAATTTGCCAATTAGCTTCAGCAATATACACACACAAATATTGTAACTTATAATCTAGCTCCTGCTTAACATCTGAAAATTATTTTACACGATATATAACAAAAAATATTTTATTAAATATTTTCTCGTAATGCAACTCATTGGCAGATATCAACGTAAGGTATACATACATATATATATAACACTATTATGCTGTGATTTACCATAACAATGATATTATATATAAATCGTTTACAGTTTTGCATGGAACACTCTTTTCAAATTATATACTAGTTATATATTCGCTCAATCATTATTAGTAAGTTAACGCTTTTAATATATTTCGACTCATTATAAACACATACTTATATATTATCGATGTTATACATCTCATTCGCTGCTATCAACATGTATGTGCATAAATTTTCAATGTTCGTAATCTGGCTTGTTGATGATTCGAAATTGTGCATTTGCAGAGTAATGTTTGTATAGGTATTGTTAAAAGTTTCATGATGCAACGTGAGAAATATTAGATTGCATTTAAAGTAACTATCATTTTGTTTCTATTTTGTTCTCAGAATTTTATCAACGATGCTGAAAATTTATTAGCGTCTCCGAAATCTCCGGAAGGTCCTGGCGTCCCGTTTGTTAACGCCACACCCGGTGTGATCGGTGCACAGGAAGTATATAAGTTAGTTTTAATTCATTCTATTTGTTATATCAATTTTGCAAAAAAATAGTATTAATTTTAAATATCATTGAATTTATTTTTTTTTTTTTTAGAGATCCACGAACAAAACGCCTCGCTGAGAAACAAAAGCAACAAAATTTGCAGATGGGCGCGGTACCTGAGAAGCTCAGTTTCAAAGAGAAAATGAAGATGTTTGCTATGGAAACGGGAGAAGATGGTACACCGCGAGACAAGGTGAAAATATCTCGAGCTCAACGTGAAATAGATAATATCGGTGGTCCTCTTAGTCCTAATAACAATAATACGAAAGGCTAAGTGTAAACGCAATCGTCCTTTTCTTACATACAACTAATTACGGAAGTGTATACTACATAATTTGTAGTGATGATCACAAGCTTACCGGAGCTTGATCATACATCATCAACAACTATAGAAGATTTACTCTATATCTCTTTATAAAATATATACTTATTTAAAAAGTAACACATGAGGGAACATAAAAAAAAAATAATGAAACTACAACTTTATCTTGACATTTTTAGGGATGCCTTAATTTTAAAACAAAAATATTATATTATGACATCGTTATCGTTTGTCATCTAATAGACATATATATAAAATTTTAAATATTCAATGATTTAAGATTCTAGAAGAAATCAAATGATAGAGATTACGCAGGGTGGTCTAAAAGTATCTATGTGATATTTAAAAATCAATTACTCTTTTTTGGAATTTTTTAAGATTTAATTATATGTTTAAAAAAAGATTTGACAAAGAGTAATTTATTTTTCTAATCGCATAATAAATTTTTGGCTCACTCTGTATAAAAATATATATATATGATGATGATGTCTATGAATTATATCTATCGGGGGATCAAGTTTAGAATGAAAATGAAATAATATTATCAATGTTGATCGTCGAGTAATATAATAGAAATTGGTAGCCATATTTAAAAGTCTTTGAAACTATTTGTCGATGATATATACTAACGTTCGTTATGCCGTTTCTTCGGTGGACCAACTTAATTCTAATATTTTATGAGAATATAGTTATTTAATTAAGGATTTAGCTTTTGGAAATATACAGAAAAAGACAAACTCATTTATATAAGAGTAATTCTTGATTGGTAACATTGAAATAAACCGATCAGAATGTACTTCACACGATTGTACATAGGCTGAACATAGCCGTCCGCATTGCTTCTATTGTTTGATATTTATATTTATATACACCTGTGTGTATGAGTATGTGGGTGCATGTATAAGCGTGTGTTAGCGTGTATGAATGTGTGTGCGCGATAAAAAGGGCGAATATTAACTTCATCATATATTTCTTCTTTCTCTTCTTCTTCTTCATTAAACTGCAGCATAGCAATTTTAATGTGTGAGTACTGTACAAAATACACAAAGAAAAGCGCGCGTACATAGCTTTAATAAAGCAAATTATATAGATAATCGTAATACTCTATATGAGAACCGAATATGCTTGTACACAATGTGTAAATATATACTTAAGAGTTTATGGATTGCATAAAAAACAGACACAACGAGATAAATATTATACAATTTTTCACATACGTTTGATAGGTCCTCCATTTTAACTCTAGGTAAATGGCCAGAAAAAAACACATCGATGGTGTTGTTAATTAATTATTATATAAACCAGTTATGGAAAAGTTTAAATATTAGAGTAATATTAATGTAGAGAAACAAATAAAAAATCGAAAACCACATATCTGTATATACACATTGGTGTACAGGCATGAAAAGTTCTTAGAACATTTGGAGGAGATCGCGTAGCCTAGTATTGTAGAGGATTTAACAAAGATTATTTAATACGATAATCTTGATAATATGTGAGAAAAGAAGAGTATACACAGTTGTTTACTAAAATTGTCTGTGAACATTCACGAAATCAATTGATTTCAAAAAATAATTTATTGTATTCCGTTTTATTTTACACAATAATTATTTTTTTTATTAATTTTGTTTATATATAGATACTTATATACAATAATTGTGTATTTCATTTCAAGTACAAATTTATTTTTTGAACGAGAATATTAAAAATGACATTATGTTAGATTATTTTAAAAAACATATTAAATAATTTACATTTCATTTGGAATGTTCACAGACTTGAGAAATTCGACCACAGTACCGAGATATATTAAGGATCGTCGAAGAGTCACTTTGTAATAAGAGTTTCCTGCAGACTTTAGTTTGATAAATCTTACAAAACACAAAACACACATAGCAATATTAGTAGTTAAATGAGAAAAACGCGTATTAATGACTGTTAATCTGGCTACTATGAAACGACCGGTTGAGTCGATTATTATATACAATTGCTCCTATAATATTATTCCTTGTATCGGAAAAAAAAAACGAAAAATAATCTTTCTTAAATTGTGGATCATGTATTACGTACGACATATTTGTGTGTACGTATATGCTGTGTATTATTCTTGTACTTTTTAAATCTTTAAAAAGAGAGTTTACGAAATACTCTCATGTTCTGATATATATATTTAAACATCTTATATATTATTAATAATAAAATATTGTATGTGTGTGTCCAAATGTTCCTACGAAATATAGATTTCGGGACAGAACGGAAGGAGGTACTTCATTAAGTACGTAAATGTATATTAAAAAAAAAAATATGACTCTCTCTATAAAAATATTCTTTGGACAAGACTTTAAAAATAAAAGAAAAAAAAATTATACATTCAACGAAATAGTTCAGCCGATCTAATAATAATAATCGATTAACAACGATCATGTTAGCATTTTTAAAATATTATTGTTGTATACATTTAGTGCAGTTTCAATTTTGCAGCTTTCACCGAGATACGACTCTTCCGGCGTTTATTTAAGTTGGCGAAAAGTATTTTTTTATGTTTATTATTATTATGATTTTTATTATTATTAATATTATTATTATTATTATTATTATTTGTATTTTTATTATTATTAATTACTTTTTAGCACATTTTAGATTTTTAGAATTTGACCGTGATATGTCGTGCAGCTCATTAGAAATGAAAAGAAAAAAAGATAATATTGTTGAGAAGACAGTCGAACCTATGTAATTCTATGCGTTTAAGATGGTTCGATTGCAACTTCGAAAAGAATAATTGAATGTTTTTTTTAGGATTTAGTTTTAGGTCCGTATTCCGAGCGTTAAACGTAGACACGATATGAAATAATTTTAGAAAAAGAAAAAAAATTAATGTTCTTATACAGGATTAAAACTGTTAATACGTTTCGAATACGGACCTTCAGTTCTTTATACAGCCATATATCGTTAAGAGATAGTGATATATGTTCGTTCTTGATCCTGTATTGCCCTAACACGTGTCTTTGAATAATATACAAGTATATAAATGGTAAAATGATTTTTACCTAGATAATGGTTCACATACATTCGGTTAGTTTTAGGTCAATCAATTAAAGAAAAAAATAAAATAAAAGAAAAAGAACTATATAATTTAGTTTAACAATACAATTAATTTTTATTTCAGGTTCTAACTTTCCTTATATTCAATTGTTTACTCCGAATAATTCTATTAAATAAATAGGCAATGTGTGATCTTGTGACAAGCGTTTAGGCTGAGCAACTTGTTTATGTAGAATTCGTAAAAATGAATTTACACAAGTTCATAAGAAAGAAATATTGAAGTTGTGCAACTATTTAACGAATAAAAGAAACAAATTCCCTCCTTCGCGTGCGTGAGATGATAGACATGAATGTATAAATAGTATTTGCACTTTGTATTTTGTAATAACATTTTAATTATTCAATTGCAGTGGAATCGTAGCATTTGATCTTATAATATTGAGTTACGGTCACACACAACGATCATAAATGTTTAACTAGCGTTATTACATTTTACCTACATTAATGATTGCACTTTAGGAAACGAACTATATTTTTTAATTACTGTATTATGTCAATATATTACAAAGATGACATAAAGTCATTGACGAAGAAATAAACATCATATCTGCAGGCAATGGATTCGTGGATCTTTTCTTTTTCTTGTTTTTTTTATGTTATAGAATGCAAGATAATAATTATTTGAAATAGAAAAAAAAAATATACCGTGCTATTTAAAAACAAATATATTATTATCTAGGGTTTTGTTATATGTCATCTTTACATAGATCTTTGTAAGAACGAGATATTTTGCATGCTCGTTGTTTCAAATTATTTTCTACATTATTTTTTATACTAACATCTAAATTAGTATTTTTAGGATTTATGATAACAGTCATAGATGCATTATTATCAGTTAAATTAATATGTCTTCTACGCCGCGCAAAAATAACGACTTCAGAATCGTCACATTTCGAAATTTCTTTTTTATTATTTCTAGTTGCTTTAGCCTTGACAGACTTATTGTTATTATATTTATTATTTTCTTGGAGATCTATTGCTACAGTTTCTTCATGAACTTTTTCCAATGACTCCTGTTGATCGTTATCATTTTCTTTTTGAAGTTTGTCAACAGAGAAAACATTATCTTTTCTTAGACCTACTTTGGAAATATTAGGTAAACTTTTATCTTCTTTTTTATCATTATATTTAAAAACAATATTATTCTCTTGACTAATTTCAGCAGAAATTTTTGTATTGCTTCTTAAAATTTCTTCAGGTAAGTACTGAATATTATTGCGTGTACTATCAGATTCCTTTGCATTTTTCTGTAATTGAACAATTTTATCAAACTTAGATTTGTTTTCATGTATAATAACATTTTTATCATCGTTGTTGATGTATGTTAAAATCGGTATAATGTTTGTTGATGTTACTGTACAATTTAGTTTGTTATCAACCAATGGCATATTAGTGTCTTCTGGACAAGTATTAACAGCTATTGCAGCTTCAACTTTTTCAATCTGATGCATATTTTCTTTATCTCCTACATTTTCCCTATCTTTTCTTGTTAAACACGTACGCGTATTCATTCTGTTAGCAGCGGGCTTTAACTTATCTTCGAATTGATCGAAAGTAATCTTAAAAGAATCTTTACAAGTTTCTACGTTAACATTTTTCTCCGAAATAAATTTTATATTATCTGTTTCGTTATTGAGATTAGATTTAATGGGAGATAAAATTTCGCCTTCTTCCAAAGAATCACTACTACGTATTTTAATTGATTTATTTAAAAAATTATTTGTTTTTTTCACAACATTTATAGCTTTGAATTCGTTTATTTTACCTTTCCTTTCGCAATGAGTACTTTCACGATCTTCCAAGTTCCTATCATACTTTGAATGTTTGGAATATTTTCTATCAACAGTTTTATGCTTCGTCCTTTCCTTAATTTTTCTTCTACTTTTTTCATGTTTAGTGCCACGTAAACTAGAATATTTGTTTCCTTTACTTTTCGACGAATGAAAATCCGTAGTACCATATTTTTCATTAAGTCTACTTTTATCTTTATAAGATTTATTGGAAGTTATTGAAATATTGTCTTCTTTATCCTGAGAACTTCGTCTTCTGTCTCTATCTCTGTATTTATCTCTGTAATCCTTGTTATATCGATCATCATAATGTTTATGTTTTCTGTCAGAGTGTTTTAAAACAGGCGATCTATTTCGTTTATGACTATATTTATCTTTTTCACGATAATATTCGACACTATCTTTGGAATAATTGTTATGATCATTGCTAAATTTTTTATAATATTCTTTTTCTTTTCTATAAGATGTGCTATGTGATCTCGAATCTTTATCATATTTGCTATTACTCCTAACATTTCTTTCTGTATAAGGATTACTATTTTCTTCACTATTTAATTTGTTGTCTTTTATACTCGCCATTTCGTGATCAAATCCAAAACATACGTCTTCGTCAGAAATATTAGTTTTATCTGTACACATATTTTGTTCAACATCTAACTTTTGACGTTTGTTACAAGGAGTATCAACATTGTTCGGCCTTTTCTTAGAATCATTATTACTTGCAGCTAGCTTTTGTTGATTTGTCGGACAAACAGTATTGCCTTCCGTAATATTAATATTATCAGTAAAATTACATACAACCTCTTTATTTTCTAAAATTGTATCATTCACATTTGAATTCAGTATACTAGGGTATGAATGATTTTCTTTGTCATCGATATTAATATGTGTATTTTGTTCATTCGTTTCTTGTAATAATAATTTTTGTTTCTTTTCCACTTCTTCTTCTTCCATTATCTTCTTACGAACACGTTCTGTATAAATAGTAGTACTAGAAATATTAGGTACTGGTAACTTTTTAGAATGATACTTTGTATTACAAAATTGATTATTTAAATGCTCGTAATCTGTTGCTTGATCCTCATTGGATTGATTAAAATTAACGCTTTCAAAATGTTGAAAATTTGTTTCAGAAGAATTACTGGCAACCGGATCATATTTATCGTTATTTGAATTAAAATTTGGTAACTCCTCATTCTCAGCGTACGTTTTTGCATGATTATATTCGTGTACGTTATTTTCAGGTAATTGCTGCACTGATTTGTTACAATCCTTCACATTTTTATTAAAATGACCTCTCTTAAAAGTCATATCGTCAACCCTAAAAGAACATTATATTAAAATTATTTAAATTATAAGAAATTATTCATTAATAAAATATATTTAAAAATATATTTACTGCTTCCTAAGCTCGGCTATCATTCTATCTTTACGTGAAATTTCAGCTTTTGCTGTTTTAAGCAGAGAAGATAAGTTAACCTCTAAAGTTTCCTTAACATTTTGGGCGTTTTCTAATTGTAATTTAAGTTCGCTAACTTCTTTTTTCAATTTTTCACATTGTTCAAAAATATCTTCATTATCTTTAAAATCCTAAAACAATATACATTTTTCAATTGTTATATTTAGAAAAAAAGAGAGAGAGAGAGAAAATATGTAGAATAATATTTAAAAATGTATTACTGTTTTATCATCGAAACTAGGCAAGTCTTCATAAATGTCGATATCTTCGCTGTCCATTTCTTTTTATAGTTAATACTTTATAACAAACTAATATTATTTAATCTTTACGAATATCATAATGAAATATATTTCCAACTTTAAAATCTAACTGCTCTGTGAAAACTATTTTTGTTACGTTGCCCCCAGGTGTCACTGCAATTAGTAATGGATAAAATATGAACTGTGTACAATACTAATAGGGTGCAGTGTCTCATAATGTGTATGTATATTAATGTTTTTGTAGGTTAAGTTACATTAAATTAATTTTATAGAAAAGAAAAAAATATATATATATTTTTTTTATTAGGTAGTATATATATATATATATTTTATAATTAATCTCACAAGCCTGTTTTTATTTTTATAGATATAAATTATACTTAGATAATTAATATTTTATTACATGATTTTATTTTTAATGAATTATTTTTTTATAAATTTGTGAGAGCCATCTTCTAATTTGCATCTCTTCATCCTTTAAAATAGTTATTCTTCATCAAAATTAGGTTAAGAATTATACTTTGATTCATTGTGTTATTCAAGTGTTTATTCCATTTTGGATATTTTTATGTAGGGATTAGAGAACATCCTTAATTTACAAATGTTGTGAGACTAAATTTTGCCATGAATATTTTGCTTTACAATCGAGGACATCAGTTTGAATTTTTTTTTCTGCGAGTGTCTGAGTATATTGATTATTTAAAATTAGACATTTTTTTCTACACGCTTGTTTTTCACACAATCCATTATAGTTGTAAGTCTTTTTATTGTTCTCATCAATAACAGTGTTTTCATATCGATGAATATTGGGTGAAAATATTACTCCGCTCCAATAATCTGCATCGTTGTTATTTTCCAATGCTACTTGTGTTCCAGTACCTATGATTTGCCAAGAGTATTTAATTTCACATTTATTATTATTATTATTATTAGAAAATGGGCTTTGATTTTCTTCTAGAATGTTATCTAACAAAACTTTTGAAGTTTGCGAGCTTGTGCCTATAATCTGCCATGAATATTTTATTTTACAGTCGTATTCAGCTTCCATGTATCGTTTGTTTTCTTCTACCTGACATGCTCTAATTAAGCAAGCACTTTTTTCAGGCATAGATGTACGATTAATATTTTCTAAAGAATATAGAACTTTGTATGAGTTATTCTGTAGATTGTTAAATTTATTTTGTGCCATATGCAAATTTGAATTACTAGTTTTTATATTGGAAATGCATTGGGTAGATTTATTATATTGGATTGCGCTCATTGATCTTTTTATGCCTTTTTTTTCTTCTATACTATAATTTAAATTACACACTTTAGGATAGTACATTTGTAACAATTGCGTTTCGTTTTCATAATTTACAATTTTCACCATATGCTCGCTATAACTGGTATACAATTTATTTTTTACTCTAACATCTTCTTTTCTATTATTATTAGAGTGTAACCCAGGTGTAATAAAATTGCAAAAAAATGATTGGTACATTGGAGGAATTAATAAATCTTTGTTATTGTTAGAATTCATTTTTAAAAACATTAACTCAGCAGTTTTGGGTAGATTCTTGTTTTCTATATGATTTAGATTCGATATCACAGATTTAATATAATTTATATTTGTTCTTTCTTTCTCTTGAAAAATATTTGGAGTCATTGGCAGTGACATCTTGGATTTATGTAATGCATTTTTATTTTTATCAAGTAAAGTGTTTTTATTAGTAGAAGATTGGGCTTTATCAGATGGTTTTTTATGTGCTTTCTGATTTTGTTGTTCATTGTTACATAATTCTAATGTAGAAATAGGAAAGGATTCTTTATAATAATTAATGATTTTTTTCTGCGAATAATATTTACTGTCTAATGAATTTATAGTGTTCGGAAACGTTAAAGATTTAATTTGATTCTTGTCCATTAATCTTCTTGATTTATAAGATTGTTTTAAAGAGCTAGAGATATAATTTTTTTGTAAATCTAATTGATCGTGGCTAATTCTTTTTTGATGTTGCATCTTGTATGACTTATCATAGGTTGGATTGTATATCTAGATATTTGAATTAATAAATTTATTAAGATCATATTGATGAAAGCATAGTATTGAAAAAAAGGAAAATAACTATTTTATCTATTAATCTTATAATTATTATTGCAGTATTCACCTTCCATTGTTGTTGGTTTTTATTTTGGAAGTCGTGCGATGGGCTTTGTAAAAATGATAACGTAGGTCTATTTTCATACTTGGAAAGTTGTATTATAGGTTTAACATTTGAAAAAGAACAAATCTTTGGAAATATTTTTGGGGGTAAGAACTTTAAAGTAGGAAGCATTTTGTTTTGTGTAAATAATATTATATCTGGTTTAATTTTATATTCCACTTTTGTAAGATCATTTTTATCGTTCCTATTTTTTTTTACCATTTTGCTGTTTATAGGATAAAATAATAATTATTTAATTTTCAACTCATATAACTAATATATTAAATATTTATATTATAAGACTTTATAACATAAAATTGTTTTATAACAATTTATACTTACCAAAGTATAAACGGATTTAAACAAAATAAATAATTACGCATTTAAATGAATAAATACGTAATTACGTATTCTAAATAAATTAAGTATTTGATTAGGATTTTAAAAATAAATTATTGCAGACAATTGTTCTGTTATAAATAATTAAGTTACTAAAAATTTGGTTAACTATCTTTTTTGAAAAAAAAAACAATTGTCATAAGCCACGAGATTTAAACATAAGTGAGATATCATACGTCAGAGATATGTACTGGGTCGTATGTATAATATTTTTATATTTATAAGTAGAGATAAGAAAATATATTGATATAATATTATGTGCATATATTTATATTATTATGATAAAGCCAAATATTATTTTTTCTGTACATTATTATTGTTTATCAGGTAACCATATATCGGATGTGCAATCGCCGCCAGGGTATCTGTTTAAATTGGATGTAAATAATTTTGGTTAAATATAACATAAATTCAAAGATTAAGGAAATATTATAATATGTAATTAATATACTTACCGTATTTCATGAGCTAATAATATATCATTTTTATCCGCTCCAAAATCGACCAAAAATTCTTCATCCAATTTCATGCCTCCATTTTCAACATCGACGTCAAGTTTGACCATTGTCGATCCATGTCTATACATTACAAAAAAAAATCATTTAATGTATTTTTAGAGTTAATTCAAAATTAAATTATTTTAGATATATTGCATTAAAAATTGCGAAACTTACTTAACGTGTTCGGGATAGAATTGTTTATCCCAGGGTTTAAAAATAGATGTTGTTACATAAAGTCGACGTCCATCGAGACTAAGTTGTAACATTTGTGGTGAGCCATATAATCTGCGTCCTTTCACAAAAACAGGATCAGGTTGACTTTTCAATTCGGTATCTTCTAAGACGAGAACTTTAGAATCGCTTAATATGCAACCACCAAGAAAAACTTGACCAGTTAATTTAGGATTTCGACGATCGGTTATATCGTACTGTCTAACATCACCGTGCAACCAGTTAGATAAATACAAATATTTATCATCTAAACTTAGTAGTATGTCTGTGATCATTCCTATAAGAAAGAATAATAGTAAAAAGTAATTAAATATAGTTTATTTCGACATATTATTTTTCAATTAGAAGATCTAATCGTAAGACAAAAAATGACACTTACCAGTCATAAACGGTTCGGTCCATCCCTGAACTTTTTTCTTAGGTACATCGATTACTTTTTCAACATCCCAATCACCCTTGCTCGTCTTGTAAAATCTGATAATGTTTGATGAGGCCGCGCAACCAACATAGCCTTCTGCTGCTTTTGGATCGTGAAGAAATCTTATTTCAAGTGGTGCAATACCGTCCTCTCCAAGATGAATGGTTTGTTTTAGCGTTCGTTCGGACCAAGAATAAATGTTTAGACTTCTACCATAAAGTTCTGTCATAAAATAAAGACAATTTTAGATCATTGCTTGGAATAGAAATATATTTGCCGTGGATAAATGTTTAGGTCATTTCTCACTTGGATCGGCAATGTGATCTACAAAATAGCCTTTCTTAAAAAACTTCGGGGTGCCCCACTCAGAGGCTATTAGTATATCGTGATAAGGTTGATACCAAAAATCGTATCCAAATGCTGCTTTCTTTTCACCTTTAACCCAGGAGCCTTTAACTTCTAACGTTTCGCTATCGATACAAAGAAAATCACCTTGTCCGTCGCCGTTAGGCTTACCCATCGTAGAAATAATTATTTCACCTGTTGGGGCACAGTGCGAAGTGTGCGGCGTTGATAAACCATATTTATGCATTTCTTCTGGTTCTAAAACCTTTATTAGCGTATGCCGTCAGAAAAAGATCTTTTTTTAATGTAATATGTTTTTTCTTTTACTTTTTTTTTTCACATATACCTTTTTTATTTGCGGTGCTCTCTCGTTACTCGTATCAATAAAATATACCCTATCCGACATAAGACATGGTAATACTAGGACATCCCGTTTACGTGGTAATTCGTAACAACTGCTACATATGTTCCAACCGGAATGGTGAAGTTCGTCTCCTACGTGTAACATTCTCAATTTGTGTATTATCTAAAACATATTAATAAAATGTAATACCTGCACATATATTTTTTGTTCTTTCTGGAATGAACACTTTAAAGTAAAACTTACTTTACAATACGTAGGACTTTCAGGATCAATATCGACCGTTGAAAGAACATCAGGTTTTTCGGGATCCGTATGTATGCAAACAGTGTACATAATTTTTTCACGCGGTCCTTCCGCCATTGCTACCTTAGGACTAGAATAGCCCGGTCGACATGTGCCGCAATCTAAAATATTTCAATATTGATATAAATGACAAATTGCTTTTTTTAGATATGGAAGAGAAACAACTCTAGACACAGAAAGGAACAACAAAATAAATGAGTAATTATATTTTGTAATTTGAAAGTTAAATGCACAATATTATGTTTTCAGTATGTTGCTAATATGCATAATAGACAAATAAATTATCCTATATTATGTAATTAAAGTTATATTTCTATAAATATAACGACGATATGGAAAATCTTTATTCAAATATAGCATAGGTTGTAAAGATATTTTACGTAACTTGACACTTTCGCCTTTCATAACTGATTTAAGGGGGGAGATATGTGTAGAAAAACATGATCTTTTGCTATTTTTTACTTTATGTTCACATCCCTCTAAAAATACTAATTTTCAATTTTTTTGAAGAAAGTCAAATTCATATAGAAGAAATACATATAAGAAAAGTAAATTCTTTGTGCGATTGACTTCAGATAAAAATTGTCGCTTCCAAGATGTACATAAACTGCTCAGTCGTATGGCGACCTACAATGCTCGGCAGCTGATATCGCCATTACTTTTTCAGCAAAATCTTTAAAAATTTCAGAATATATTCCTAAATATATGACCTCACGATATCAATAAATTATATAAATTCCTTATGTGTTAAAAAAATTCATGATAATGACTGTAAAAACGCCATTCTACACCTATCTCCCCTCTTAATGTATCTTTATATAAATTGTTTTAAAAAAATATTTACTATTAGTTGTTGACATCTTGTTGGAAAGCTGATCAACTCGAATGATCGCTGAAATAACGAGAAAGTAGAATTTTAAACGGTGTGTTGTTGACGATATGAATGAGTTGATTCTCAGTGACTGTTTCTGCTCGACTGATTTCTTTAATTTTCTGTGAGTTGATGAAATCGTTCTGTTTGTAAGTTTTGAGAGGGGAGAAGATAGTATATAACAAAAGTAACACCGATAATACCGATAGCAATGATTGACTGAAGACGATCATAACCGACAGGAGATGGTTTCTAACATATCTACTATTGATAAAACCTGTTAGGCAATGAAATTATAACTCTGTGAAATGATTTATTTTTATAAACCTTTGTTAATTTGATTTAATCTTTTTTTTTATTTTTCGTTTAATGATTTATTCTTTCAAACTTAAGGAAAATTTTTGGGAATACGTCAATTGAGAAAATTATCCCAATATTTATTTAAGTGTATCGAATATATCTACTCTTATTTTATATACAGGATGTCCCACATAACACTTTTCATGATTTTTCAAGAATTTGCGATAACCTGACAAAAAAGCATTTTGAACAAAAGTTGATCAGTTTTTGATTGGTTATACATTGCAATAAAAAACAGTTCGACAACATTTTTTTTTAATTTTCTTTAAGGCTACCTTTATTTTTTTCAAATGGCACTGTATAACCAATCAAAAACTGATCAACTTTTGTTCAAAATACTTTTTTCTCAGGTTATCGCAAATTCTTGAAAAATTGTGAAAAGTATTACATCGGACACTCTGTATATGATACAAATGAAACATTCATAAATCCTATTTACTGATTCCCATATTGAAAATTTATTATTGTTATCTTTGTCTGGGTATGCACCAAATTATAAACGCTTGGTTGGAGGCATACAGACGCAGACTTCTCATTAATAATATTATAAGAAAATAAAATTGAATCTATATTTTTTCTGTGGTTCCATTTTAATTATTAAATATTAATAAAAGATCACATGTGTGTGTTGGGGTTCAATACACCTTCCTCCATTGTCACCTATTAGTACACAAGACACATGTTTAAATGTGTTAAGTGCCTAAATTTTAATAGGTAAATCGAAACATATTTTTAGGACAAAAAGTCGATCGCATATAGAATAAAGTTGGTCACCCCTGATATCTGTTTGTAGGTATTTCAAGCTTTAAACTTTCGACACTCGCTGATTACGAACATACGATACTAACTCGAACGTTTCCTTTGAAACGCAGATATGCAGTAATTGGATAAAATATAAATTTTTATGATATCAGGTTATTTTTAAAATGATATTAATTAAAATTATGATCAAAGGTAATCTGTTTTGGGTTAACTTATAGTCATGTGTATTCATGTCAAATGGTTTTATTCATTTCTTCAAGTAGGATTACAAAAATAATTGAAGACGACCTAGGCATGTATTCATGATGGAATATAACAATTTTCAAATTGGATCTTATGCCTTCACAAATAAATAACACTTTTTGTTAACTTTGGTCCTTAGTTAGACGCCTCTATGTGACATATACAGGGTGGACCATATAAATGGGAACACCTAAATATTTCCTTTGCTTATAACCGTATATATTTTAATATAATATTATTAAATGCAACGTGTACGTTGTTTTCAATTCCTAAGAAATAATCCATTGGACTACAGAAATTTACGTGTACATCTTACGCATACACGACTGCACTTTAACATGTTTTTAATGTAAAGGATGAGAATGTAATCTTGCTTACAAGGAGACATTACAGTTGAACATCAACAAATTTTTACGAGCTTTGGTATATCAGTAGTATACCTTTAAGATGTTTTCGTGGTAAAATATTTCCATCTGTTGTCCAGCAAATTTAAAAAAAACAAGCTGTTTTGCTTTTTCTTGTGTATATATGTATTTATATTTTTTTAAATCTAACTATTAAAATGTGGCAGTAATTAAAATTACATAGTCTTTATTAAAATTATAATTCTCTTTTCTATATATAATTAAAAATTAAGAAATGTGAAAAAATATTATTAAAACTTATGGATAGAAAAACTTATAAAAAAGAAAACTTCCCCCACGGGGAGAATCGAATATTAATTACCGGTGCGAGAAGCGAAAACGATACTATTTAAACTGGCGCGCCACTTGTTAATAGTTAGATTTAAAAGAATATAAATATGCATATGTTTATACAAGACAAAGCAAAACTTTAAAAGCTTTTTTCTCAAAATTTGCTGGCCAACGGATGAAAATACTTTACCACGAAAACATTTTAAAAGTATACTACTGATATACCAAAGCTCGTAAAAATCCGTTCGTGTTCAACTGTAATGTCTCCTTGTAAGATGCGGATTCGTTGTATTTTTCTTCATACGCACATACATACGTACACGCATACACACATACGAATGATTTTACATAGATATAATAAAATTTTACTCGCCCATTTTCTACGGTATTTTCAAAATGGAACAATCATCGATTTGAGATTGATTTATAAGTTCTTGACATTATTTGCGACAAACCGGAAAATGTAAGTGGAAATCGATAATAATTGTAACCGCGGTGTTCGTATTTCTTTTTTCTTTTTTTTTTTTAATACAAAAGTAAGGTATTTCATATACGTATTTTAACTATAAAGTATTGATCGATTTTCCATATTCGCGACACGGCTACCAAACGATTGGGACAGTATTCCGCATCGACAATTATATTTCTTATTTAATTAATAACACAGTATATATATATAGGATCGTTGGCCCCTGTATCGAATAATAAGCTTTATTTCTCAATTTGTTTATTTCTTTATTATTTTTTTTTAATTTGCAAATAAAACAACGATTATGAAAAATAAATTTTCTATCGTTTAATATTTCAAGGATAAAAAACGTAATCACTCTTCGGATGATTGTCACGATATGATATTTTCTTTTTCATTTATTTTATTTTTTAGAGTTATCTCTTAAGAGGCATCAACGTGTTAAAAAGGCTAAAAGGCAATTATTGGATTAGATTTTTTTCGAATAGAATAAAATTGTTTTATTCGTTTATTTATTACTTAGACTAAATATTACGATAATGATGTTTTGAACGAACGATTACTATTACTTTTAGGCATCTAATACTATATGTAAAGTAACCTCTTCGTTAGTCCGCAATTAAGTCGTTCGTTCCATTTTTTTTTTGTATGAATCTATAGATAAGATTTAATTATATCTGCGCGGGTACTTGTCAATTTCATCGAATTGTTTTTTTAAAAGATATGTCGAGGAAAACGTATCACTGGACTTTCTAACATAAATATATATGTACATACATATACAACATACATGTATATATATATATATATATACATACATTGGCAACTAATACAAAGTGTGTAAAGGATCAAAGTTTCATCTGGAAAGTTATTTTGCCGTTCCGTATCTCGTTAAAAGTTATCGCATATATAATCTTGTACGTATAGTATATGTAACTAATAATAAGCTCAAGATGTCAGACTTTACTCAACAACGTTCACATTTGTAAATCTAGTTTAAACATTTCGTCTTGCCAATGGCCAATCTCTTTTGAATACTTTAGATTTGCTAATAATGATTCTCTTTTTCCAAATATGGCTTATTGGAAAATCTTCCCTAATACCACGGTAGGTCACACAAAGCTAAAAACTAACTTTAATATAGAATATAATATATTTATATATGTGTCGTAACGTAAGAAGAGGCATATACTTTAAAAAGATGTTTTGATAAGTATCTTTCTAAAACTATTTAGAGAGAACATAGCAGCTTCAATGTTACTCGATTATTATTTCTTTTGTGTAATCCAGTTAATCCGAATTTTACCGTTTCGTACCATAGCATAGAATTTACATGTAATGCACCTAAAATTCTAAGTCGGAAACTGTAAAACTCGGCAAATATTTGACATCTTAATATGACAGTTTCGGAATCGTCACGTACGCTTAGTCTCTTTCCTCAATCTTTTTTTTCTTCGTTGCTCCTGTAATATAGCGCAAATTGCAGCATTCTCACGATGAAGGGCAACCAGTTGCTTTAGTCGATTTTTTGCTATTTCAGTTTCTATCGCCATCCCGTCGAACCCAGCATTGAGTTTATCTATTGTTCCGCTTATGTTTGCAATAATATCAAGCAACAAAGCATCCTTATCCTTTTTACGAGTTTCCAAACCGTATCTCTTGCTCGTCAATAAGGCCACTAGAGCAATCATTAACAGTATGGACGATCCAAGAAGACTTTTGTGCGGCAACGACATCATTTCCAAGAAGACATAACTGTCGTAGGATTTCTTGATTTCTGTGGTCTCATCGTTGAATAAACTTCTAATATTATCCACATATTAGGTATAATTTAAAAGAAGGAAACAATAAGGAAGAGTAGGAATAATCGATCATTCCAGTCGTAATCGATTGATCAAGAGGAATCCTATCTCAATTTCTTGCTCGTTTATCGAACATTAGAAAGGAACAAAGTATTTGTCGACGTTAAGATCACGGATTGTTCGTTCACCTTTCTTCTTTTTTCGATTTTTTATAAAACGAGCCAAATCGAGGGTTAATAAAAAGCTGGAACACATTTAATCGAGAATGTCGAAAAGGATCCGCACGATGAAATCAGAGCCGAGAGATCTTCGTTGAACTGTGGTGTCGTCAAATTGTTCGGAAATGTTTCCGTTCTTTTTCCGGCACGAGCCCGCCCCTACGTTTTTATCTATTATTAAAAGCAAGGCAGCCGTCTAACGTAAGTACATATTCCACCTCCTGAATTGTCCTTCGGTTAATCTTATTTCTGGAATTCGTTCGGTCACATTCGTACATTTTTCATTCCGTGGAATAATCTTCGCGCTTTCCCTCGTAGCATTATTATATCTCGAGCTACGAACGTCAAGTCGAAGAAATGCATGTCGTTTAGTCATATCGAATTTAATATTATTTTATTCAAAGTAATCATCAAAGCGTCCAACAAATAGCGCGCATTTCCTTATTCCTTATTTGAAATGAACTATTCCGATAGAAATTTTCATCACAACTTGATGATCTTTGAATTTATTTGTCTTTCTCTCTCTCTCTCTCTTTCTATCTCTCTGGTTGACTGACACGACACTTTAATCGTAAAAAAACTACTACCGCACACTGCCTTCTTCTGACGATTATTTAATGTTCTGGCGAACTATAATAAGCATTGCAGTCAATCGAGAGAAAGGAAACGGAATAACGAAAGATATTAACTAACGCTTGAGAGAGAAAGTTAACCGAAGTATTGCAAAGCAGAGTTTAAGCGGATTTTATGCAATGCATCGTTTCGCCGCGTACTTGTTGATCGTGTCACGGCAAAGCCGAGACTCCGGGACTCCGTTCGAAATTCAGTTCGAAACTACGTTCGAGACAAGAACGGCTGGCGCTTGCTCCACGTGTAGGCGCGGTCGTTTTACCCTCGACGACGACCGGCCACTTCCGAGCAGCCGCGATGAACATTTACCAGGGCTGTATCATAACGTTCGATTGAATTCCCCCTTATCTTATTTTAAACTTTTTCTCCCATATTAATTTACTATCACGGAGGTTTGCCAAATCGTGCCAAGACAAGTATCGAAATATCATATCAGACCAATTTCTGATTATTTTCAACATTATTTCACGATCGTTATTATTTACTTCATTGTTCAGCGTTGTCGTCGTCGTTGTTGTTGTTGTTGTTGTTGTTTTTGTTTTTGTTATTGTTATTGTTATTAACGTCGTCGCCATCGTTGTCGTCGGCGTCATCGATGTCATCAGTGTCGTTGTCCGTTTATTCAAACTCGTTGAATCGATTACTCAGCAAAGGTTCCCTCTTTTTCTTCTTCTAGTAAAAAGAATAAATAAGATCCTTCCTTCTTTTCTTTTATTTTCTAAAAGGAATAACAAAATGTTGATGATGGCGACTTCGAAGAACGATTCGAACGCGGTCTAACGATAAACGATCACTCTTCTAATAAGGATTCGCCGCGACAGGCTGTTTGAAACGGTACTGCGTAGCCGAAAATAGCCGGGATTCGTCGATGCGTGCCGAGAACAGCAAAGTCGGCAGGCGCTTGCGCTTACAAATCGATAAAGAAGCTGCGTGTGCCTTCTGTTTGGTCCAGTCCAGTCAGGATCAACCTCGATTCTTCATCTCGTTCATGTATTTTCATTGAAGCTACTTATTTATATAAAATATTTGTCTTGGTAATATGATAAGACACGTATACTTTATTTCTAGCCACGTTATCCTATATCCTTTTTACTCGTTAAATTTCTTCACCGTTTGACGATCAATGTCCTTGCTCAATTCTAATTCCTCTGACGTTGGTTTCAATGATACTTGAACATATTCTTTACGCGGTAGAAATCTACACCAAGGGATAATATTAAAATGATATCGATACAAATATAAGAATTATTGTATACAAATTTGCTTATACCTTTTCATTATCGGAGAAATGTGATCAGGATCAATCTGAGTTAGATCAACTTTACCAAACGCATAACTTCCAATAATACCGGCTACAACGGCCAGCATCGCGCCTATCAAGGTAAAATACAGAAAAGATATCTTGAATATACCAATTGGTTCTTCGTCTAATGTCAATGGTCTTCGTGTAGTAATTTCTGTTTCGTTTAACGGATATGGACATTCCTCGATGGACAATGGTAATGAAATTTTACGAATTTGTCCATTTGTCATGTACCATTCCGATCCACCGGCTAAGAAAAACATTATGATCAAAGATACGCAACCACCGAAAAGGGCTCCTTGAGCGTTGGACAATGGGACCAACATTCCGAGTAGAAACAAACCGAGTAAAGGGCCATCGGTTACGCTGCGCATACTAACGGATATTTGGAAAACTGGGCCAAGTTGTTCGACGACGAACACTAATCCCACCGAAATTCCCCCTATGATAAGTACGATTATCTATTGAAGAAAAAAAAGAAATAGAAAATAAAGCATATTTCAGATGTTCAATCGGGTAGTCAACATTTCTAACGCGACATTATCGAACCTTCATAGTCGTAGCTGCTCGAGCTTCTTTGTTTGGTCCGTTTGGAATCCATGGATCGATAAAATCTTTATAAATTGTGCCGGACATAGTATTCAAACTTGCACTCATTGTAGCAAGAGCTGCACTTACAAGACCAGCTAAAAACAAACCTGGTAGTCCTGGTACATTTCCTGCCACGTCCATCACGTAATAAGGTAGAATTTGGTCGGCCCTTTGTATTCTCTTTGAAGTGATATATATTAATGAAAACAATGGAAAATCTAATCTAATTAAATATAAACGATTGTATCTTACCTTGGAAAGCAAAGGATCGCAATTAAAATATTTAGCGTATATGATTAATCCTGTGAAAACGGAAACTATCTTTACGAGAACCAAACCTATAGCTGTCACACCTAGTGCTCTGTGATCAATGAACAGAACATTTTGGATTGTTTAAAAGTAAACAAATGTTTTGAAATTTGGTTAGACACATTCGAATTCGAATTTTACCGTTTAGCATCTGCTTCTTTTGGTACCGAAAGACACCTTTGAATAACTCCTTGATGTACACCAAGATGTACGAGCCACGTTATCGTCATTCCTATAGTCATTGCCCAAAATGTATTTCTAGTGTAAGGGTTGATATCCATGCTGAACAAATATAAATTTCGTATAGAACGACGTTAGAAATAAAAAATGAAATACATGTGAATTACTACAAGAATTATTTTGGAACTTACTTGAAAAATATTAAACGATTACCCATCTCAGATCGGTTCCATACTTCCGGTATTCCACCAACCGAATTTATACCTAAGAAGAGAATAGCGAATAAACCTCCGACTGTAACAGTAAATTGTATCGTATCCGTCCACACAACTGCTTTTAATCCTCCCTAAAAAGGGTTGATTAATAAAATGCAATATTATAACGATTTAAGTAATATTTTTAAAAATTTATTTAATTACGTCAGGGTTGTAAAATTTTAATATCTACTCACAATGCTTGTATATAGGATACAAACAGCGCAAAGGATCGGTGTGATGGTGTGCAGACTAAAATTAGTTACTTGAGAAAATGCCAATGCTGGTACGTAGATTACAATAGGAATATACATGATATAAGAAATTAGAAATAAAAAAGAACAAAGTAATCGAACTGGTCTGCTAAATCTGACTTCTAAATATTCAAAGGTACTGGTCAGTTGTAATTTGTAAAAAACCGGAAGAAATACGTAAGCACTTATTGAACACGAAAGAAACGATGTGAGAACGCATGCCGCGTATTGAGATCCGTATTGATAAACTTCCGATGGAACTCCTAATAATGTGATTCCTGATACATGGCTGAAAATAATAATATAAGAAAGATTTAGGATATATTAGATTAGGAAATATAGTAGACATTAGGTACGACATTAATTACTACTATTAATAGGCATTAATTAACCGATCGTCCGAATTTTGACGAAAGATAACGAAAGATTGTTCTCTCAGATAAGGAAAAATAAATATTTTTCTATGTACCGTCAACCTTGGATTCTGCAAATAGTCATTTAACTGATAAAAGATTGTAGATTATAAAAAAAGGACGAGGTATCATTAAACTATGATATTCAAATATGAGAAATGTCAGAAGATGAAATAACGCGTATTAACATTCCTTCCATATTCTATGATTAAACATGATTATAACAGAGAACATTGTGTTCCTTTTTCTAAGAACGTGCTTGTTCGTATCGAAGCATATAGATGTATCGTATATTTAGTATTCTCATAGGTATTCTATGGGATCGTTCTTCGCATAAGTAATGAATCACTTACCTGGCAATTATGCTCATTGCTATTGGAAAAAATCCCATTCTTTTTCCACCCAAAAGATATTCCGTAGTTGTGTCTTGTTTGCTAAAAAACCCGAAATAAAATCCGATGAGGACACTGACCATTAATATCATCGCAAAAAAAGTGTAATCGGTCCAGCCAAATGTGAAACGATTCAAAATCTCCGAATTGAGAATCGCTGATTCGTTGTTGGACATTTTTATTCCGAATTTTAGTCAAGTCAGACACCTCAAGAGATAAGTGGTTAGATAGGTAAGTATGTTTACACGTATTTACATACGTACGCGTTATTGCAATTTATCTGAAATTACAAAATTTTCGAAGGAATATTGAATTTTTATGATTTTATTTTTATTATCATTTACTATATAATAGGAATTTTTTTTCACCGCGTATAAAATACTTACTGGTATACCCAATGGGAAAAGATCATTCAGTAGACAAAGGCATAGATGGGAGGACAATATTAGGAGGGATATTAAGGAAGTAGGATATCAGGATCGCGAATGAAGGGATCGCGCTCAGGAACGAGAACACTGGCGGGATTTGGTATATGCGGCAATGAGCTTTCGAGTTCCTCCAACGCCACTTAATAATAATAATAGGAATTTGTTTCTTACCTTTTTACGTCTTTGTTTCTTTTCGAAATTTTTATTTAATACTCGATGCACATAATAATGCAATCGGTCATAATAATCATCTACAATTACTAGTTTTATGCACACGAGTAATGTATAATATAACAGATATGCATCCACACTCAAAGATAATTCTTACAGATCTCGGATATTGCAAGGAAGAGGCAAATACGAAAGGAATAGTTGATTCCTGCGTTCTACTTGTAGGAATACTAAAATCATAAAGTAAAACACATGGTATGATAGCTCGAATGATTTCATTTACGGATGTAATTTATAACGGGTAGATAAGAAATACGTATATTTGATGAAAAATATTTAAAACTGTGTGAAAGAACGCTGTCAGATTTATTCCATTTTATTGTTGGCGTTAGTATTGTTCTTACTTGAAGATAATCGAGATAATAGACTATTCAACTATAAAACCATAATTAATAATATACCTACTTTCTTGTATAAAAAATATAATAACATCATATATATACAAATGTACAAAATTCGTAAATCAATTTCGATTCGTCAGACTTTTTTTTACATGGCAAGGTCAAAAGGATTGTACTTTAAATCATTGCATGATATCGTTCGTCCATCAAACCTTTCATATTTTATAAATATTTCTAAATATTTCTTTTAATCTTGATCCAACAAACGAGTAAAATGATTTTTTCAAGTACTCGTGTACTATATTTACATATTCGTATCGATAGGTACGATAAACATTTCATTTAACAAACATTTCAAACTATATAATTAGATTATAATAGAATACTGTCCATAAGAACAATATTTAGCTTATTCGGAACAAGTAATGAACAAAGAAACATAATTATAATCATTTCGAGAGATGTCTGATTGGTTGACACTGCCAAAGACGAAAGTCCATATTTAAGTCCTAAACTTTTTCGAAGATATATTCTAAGTTTAGGATTGCGCGAATTAGTTTGTCCACATTGACGAAGTGGCATATCCCAAATATCGTTATCTCTCGGACCTAATCGTAAGATGTATTGACCAGACCAACTAACTCCAACTTTAGCTCTTAATCGAAGCGTGGATGGTGCTTCTATGGCCAGAGGAACGCAATTATTAGGCCATAAGGTAAGTGGTTTGCCTGGCTCTTTGCCAGCACATCGATCAACTATTAACGTATCTCCTGGGATGAGAACACTCTCGGCTACGTGAAGATCCAATTCCGTAGTACCACAGGGTGTGCTTGGGGATGTCTCTGCACTTGTTGCAATCACTTCGTGCTTTTGATTACCCTTGAGCATTGCAGCAAATGATTCAACCATCGAAGGTCGAGCGTTTCGAAAAAGATGACGATACGCGTCGTCCATACTTCTTCTTGATCTAGACATTAATTTGTCTGTTAATGGATTCCAAGATGATTGGAATAGTTTCGTATTATCCATATCACGTTTATATCCTCCAGCACGTTGCACGTAACTTCCTGCTGCAGTGATCGAGTAAGAAAATATAGTACATCGTGGATCCAAGTAATAATCCCAACGACCAGTCCATAATTTATCACCGGAATATATTTTCATGTGTCGTCGGGACCATAAACCGCCTTTGACACTTTCACATTGGAAACTTATCCAGGAACCACCAAGTAACGCTGGAAGTGGTGCTATTTCGTGTAACAGTGGAGGATTATATTCCGTTCCTCGAGATATACTGCCGCATATTGGACAATCGCTAATCTAAAATTTGTAAATTAAATAGAAAAAGTATCTTTTTACATCCTTTATCTAATAGTATCTAAATACTTACGGTATCCATACGAATTAACATTGTAGATTGTAACGACGTAGGTTGATGAATCCATCGAGACTGTATATTTGGTGGTACATTAGCAAGCGCCAATTCGACTTTTGATTTATAAATCGAACTAGGTACGATGTATCTCTGATCGAGTGCTCTTTTTTGCACTCTTAGTATACTCAATTCGTCGAATTCGATTCCAAGTTTTTCCAAACAATCAATCGCTTTTCCTTTTTTCGAGGAAGGATAATTTTGAAGAGAATTATATCTTGGACTGTACCACGAAGCAGATTCAAATTGAGGATGAAGCCGTTCATAAATTGGTTGTGCTACGTAAGGACGCCATTTTGGTTGGAAACTACAAGTGACATTTAATCTATGTCCAAATTTATTCGCGATCTGTGTAAAACGTCATAAGTCATGTAGGAAAGTTGATAAATTAAAAACAAACATAATAACATACAATAAACATTATAATAATTATTTATAATACCTGACGATTTAATGGGACTATGTGAACCACGTCTATGTGAAATTTGGTTTCAGTTGCACCAGGTATTAGCGTTGACGGTAAACCCAATTGAATGGATCCACGTCCAACTACTGTGTGAGTTGCTATGCTACAAGATTCTTCGGCATAATGATAGCGTAGTAATAAAAATGTCCCGTTTTCGAAAAATGTGTACTTTCGAATGATATATTCTGGGCCAGCACGTACTTCACATCTAACAGAACAAAATTCGTTAATTGAAAGTAAATTTTTGATATAGAATATAAATTTGATCAAGAATTAATATATCAATAAATCATTTATAAAAGAAAAAAAAAAAGAAAAATAAAATTAAACTCACTCTTGAGATGACCATGTGTAATGCAGCCTAGTTAAACTATCATCTTCTACAATAGCTCGATCATCTCTAATGACTTCTCTGATTGCTGTCTCGCACTGATCTTCACTGCTTTCCGATTTCCATTTAATCGCATGAGAAATACCTGAAATAAAAGAATCAATAATAATGGAAATAATATCACGAAATAGTTAAATAATTAAATGCGCTTTTAGTAATAGAGACAGGTGTGAAGTTGCGTTCATCGAACGTTCGATTATCAACGGCTACGGATGTCTCAGGAATAAAGTGTGTATAGCGTGGAAAAATAAATTCCCATAAATCTACCTGGATACAATTCAGACGTAACTAAGACGCGATCCTTCACAAATCTGGGTGAAAAACTCGTGTTAGATCTTTATGCCAGCTGGAAAAGATTTCCTTTTCAATAATATTTCTTTTTTCACGCTGCTCTTCGGTTTGGATCTATAGTTCGGATCTATTGTATGGTATAATATAAGAAAGAGAGAGAGAGAGAGAGTGGAAGAAAAAAGAGAGAGAAAGAAAGAAAGAAAGAAAGAAAGAAAAAGAGATGTCGTTTCTCAACAAGACAACCAATACCAATATTTCCTACAAGTTTATAGCATTGTAAAGGATTAACAACGAGTTTAACGAGTTAATGAGAAAAGTTGTCTCGAGGGGTGTTTAACATTCGATCGTTTTTGCTTTTCCCTCGACGTTGGTCTTCAGCGACTATCCTTTTCATTGTTATCGTTTGAATTGGTATTCTACTCGAATCGAATCTCGACTCGACGATAATCACGTCGACGCGGCGGATACGATGCGTGCAGTTATGCGTTGTCTTAGCTTTTCGTATATGTTGTTATTCGTACCGAGACGCGTTACAAGATCTCACCGAATACTTATGTACTTTGTTCCCAGAAAATTGACTACGTATCTCGACGTGTTGAGATATAAAAACGATTAGCGAAGAACTTTTATCATTTTTTCTCAGAAAAGCTAAATGAGCTAAAAATAGTTGTGACTAATTGGTCCCACAGATGAATGATTAATTGAGGGTTCAAAAAAAGACACGAGTACGTACCAAAGATTGCTAGTAGATTAAGGAGCTTAATTATCCATGACATCCTTGCATGTGTGTATAATAGGTGTGTATTTGTTCTATATAGGAAACGTTATAAAATAAAAAACTCTTGTTATAAAATATTTAATTATTTGATAACTTGAAAGACGATTTTCATTTATTAGCTGTGAAAGTTACACTATTCGAACTTTTCAGAGAATACTACTCTGTCTGGACGACCTACCCCAAGATTATATAGCCTCGTCCCCACTCTCTCATTCTTTCTTCCTCTTTCCCTTGTTCGTGATCCTGCGGTGATCTGGGCCCAAAGAAGATTTTATTCTGTAAGTAAAAATTTTCTTTTCGATTGAAAGCCCTTCTCGGCGGGTCCTGTTATTATGTGAAATTATTCAATTTCCTAGATATATGCTTGTAAATGTTATCTGATAACTGTTTCCCTAACTTTTTATTTTTTTCCCTCACATTTTGAATATTCAGACATAAAAAGAAATATATAAAAAATTATTAAAATATTAGAATGAAATAAGAAATCCAGCGGTTATGAAACGAAAACAGTCTTTAGTCGTACGGAATTGTTAAATTTATTTTTGGTATTAGAAAAATATTTAAATGCTTATGAAAAGGATCGATTATGATTGTTAACAGAAATGTTTTTTTCAAAGACATTGATTGGACATATTAATCAAACTGGTCAATGGTTGCATCCATTGAATAAAGATGGCTTTGTATTTGAACAAAAAGTTTTGTTGAGAATATTGGCTATTGTAGTGGTGAGATTGCATTGTATTGATATGTGAACCTTTGGCTTTTTCGAAATCTTGACTCGTAGATTAAGAAATCTGGCTTACTGGGTGGGCAGAAGGGGAAAGAAAAACATCTGCTCTTTTATAAAGATTTAACGCTTATTTAGAATTTCCCCTACAACATCTTATTTTTCCTCTGTTATATATATTTGCGTGTAATAGAGATGACTTTTGAGATAAAACCGAAACAGCTTATTTTCTATTAATAGTAAAATGAATACGTAAAATGCAGTATTTGTCAAAATTGGTTTTGTAAGATTTGGAGACAAACGATGAGAAAATTAAATCAAATTTTCAATATTTTTTGGGGGTTTAATAAAAGGAAAAAATAATTTGAAATTTATTTGATTAAGAGCGCGCTTTACAATAAAACAATATGGAATAAATATTAACAATAAAATATTGTAAACAAAAATAATATTATTAACGTTTTTATATCTTACGTTAAATTAATTTTCGAATATCTCTTTATTATATGTATTCTTTGATTATACATCAATAATCTATGAAAAATATAATCGAAGTCTACTTTATCGGCAATTCAAATGTTTTCATAAATGATCTACTAATGATAAAGTAGATCAAGAAATTACCAATGATAAATATGATCTTCCCTACTATCGATCGGTTAGTAAAAAGAAAATACAGATTTGTTTCGTATTTAAATTATCCTCCATAATCGATTTAGTTATTAGATATACCGCAAGATGGCGACAGAGGTCTCTGCGGTGGGAAAAATTCGAGCGATCGACGTCGCCGTGTGAAACCATGATGGCCGAGACAGCGTTTGCTATTTCGAGGACGGTAACGCGAGTGTGTGTCCTCTTTATCGAGTGTTAAATCAAGGTAGAAGCTCCTAGGCTTGGCGGAAACATCCTTTAAAGAATGACCGACGATTCTTCGCCAATTGTGAGTAACGACAATCTTTTTTAAGATTTTTCTAAGACATTGTTTTCGAGTGTCGACTCTCGTTAGGTTATATCCAATTTTATTTGACATTTCTATTCTTACGTTAAACGATCAACGATGACAAGTGTTTTTATAGACATGTTACATTTTCATTTTCTTCCTGAAGAAAGAATCTTTAACTTTGTATGTTAACAAATTCTGTAAAAAGAAAATCGAAAGAAAGGAAGAAGGTCTAAGAAATTGGTTGACCAGATGATAGACAAATTGGAAAATTGATCAAATATGACTGTCCTCGATGTCGTCCTTCGCTAATAGTAAGAGAAAGAAAGAAAGAGAGAGAGAGAAAGTGAGATACACGATACATATGATACGATAGGTTACAATATGATAATACGATACGAGATATGAAAGATTTAAACGCGCAAACGCGAGCTGCAGGTTCATTGGCCGTTAGCCGATTGACGTCATGGCTTGACAGCGACTGTCACCTGTTCGGACCGTTGCGCTGCGTTCGGGTAGTGACGTCACCGCGCTCGGTGATGCAATCAAGCGTTATTTCTTTGGTTGTGTGCGCAGCGCAAGGCAAGCAAGGATTATTTAATCCGATCGCGCCCACCTTTCTTATGAACCAGGATTACCTTATAAATCGTATTCTATCTTTCAACTATCTGTCACTATGGATAACGATTACATTCTCTATCTAATCTAAATATGTTGAATTCAAATATACGCGCGAGCGCGAACGTATACCAGCGTATGCTTAAAATTAGAAAGATATGTAATATTAAACGATGATTCAAACATCGAAGATATATTATTTTAGTTTATAATTTATAATATATATATGTATTATCGGGAATTATAGATTTAGAATTTGGTATGCCGAGTAATTCGGAGCACTAGGTAGAAAGTGGTTCCGAGTGTTTGTTAACGATGGCGCCACGTCATCATATATACGTCGAGAGTCGATTGTTCGAAAGACCGCGAAAAATATATATACATATCGATACGTTTGAAACTATTTTAAAATACTTCGTAATTTGCTCGAGAGTACATATGTTAATGTTAAATGGGCGTATTGGTTTATAAATTATTAGTCGATAATTATAATTGAGTATGATATGATATTAAAGATATTTGGCATAGTTAATACGAGATAGTTGTTGGTAGTGCGTCATCCGTTTAGCGTAGGCGCGGATTCTGTGTTCGTAAAGTGTCATCGTGTCCGGAATAGCATCGACGCGAGCCATCCAAGTCCAGGCTGACATCATTTCGACGGAATACTCTTATATTTGTTACAGAGTGTTCCGTATATGAAAGAATGCGGTCGATGACTAAGTCAGGACAGAAAACGATCAGAAGCACGATGACGTATCATATTTCCTCCCCCCCCCCTTTCCCGTATATTTTCTCTTCATCCGTCGACTTGTCGTCGGATGACGCAGGATGCTTTTAGCAAATCTAACGTAATACGAGATGGGAACGTAATTCTGGACATAACGCTTCCTCTTATATTTGTATTCGGAAGGACGACGAGATCTTTCTTAAATAATGCGAAACCTATGTATAAGTGTAATTACAAGGAACGTCTGAAAATGACACCGAATGATTCAGAATTTCCCTCTTCCCCCTCTTTCTTTTCTTTCTTATGTCCACACTCCGTTCATGTCGATTCCACGTACTGCATCTGCATGTTAAGTTAAATTGGCTTGGAGAGAACCGAACCGTGCGTTCTCTCTCTACTCTGGAATATACATATATACTCTCTCTCCTTTCTTATATGGCTCACGTACGAACAGATAGCTATACAGGGATATTATATGTGTGCGTCTATTTGTATATGTAGATGTGTTTGAAGTGCCTACTCGACGTGTCCATTTGCATATTTCAAATTTTGTCGAAGAAGACGCCTAGCACCCTAACTGGTCTTGGGTCTTGATCACTTGCGATCGTCTTCAAATGCTTTTGCTTCCTCTTTCCTTCATTTTCTTGTTCTTGTTCCTGTTCGTATCAGTGTCTCTTTAGAAATTTCCTTCCTTCCTATGTTTAGGTAATACAGAAGTAAAATTCGTAGAATATGATAATCATGCGAACGTATCCTGATGCACTCTTTCGAGATCGGATTAAGGATAATTAACTGGTAAATACTTAAAGAAACACTTAGAGACTTCGTTAAGCGAACATTTCGAGTCCAAGCACCGGTGCCGACTTTGCCAGTTCCGTCGCTCCTGATCCGATTAGCCGAGTTAATGGATAGAAATAATCGCCTTTTCGCTAAATGGAACGACGTGCTGTGTATATACGTAATACGTATATTACCGAAAAGGAGCCTTTGTTCCTTTTGCCAACTACTATCTTAATTCTCAAGAAATTTATCAAACACCCTGTGTAAATATTTAATTAGCAAATGATTTCGCGATACATGCAAGAAGATTTCATCTTTATTTATTTATTCCCTGATTCTTTTTTCCTTTATACGTTTCCGTGGGTTAATCCTCTTTAAAGGATCAGTGACGATTGATGTCGTCACGTTTCCAATCACCTTTAATTGGCTGACGTGACTTGATATTATTTTATTTTTAGATAACCGATTAATAAATCTCAGTCAAGGAATGTCTTTAAACTTGTTTATTTTTAGATTTTAGCTATAATGGTTTTAACTTTGATTATGATATCTTCGTGATTGGGGTCGGGCATTGTACATAATGCCCGGCTTAGGTTTCGGGCATTATACAAAATAATAGCATAATAATTATAGTATATTTAAGAAGTAGTTTGTTTAAGATACGTACAGGAAGAGAAGACACGAGTTGGTGTTCCCCTACAAATATGATTCAAAGTTCTTATAAGGTAGTTCGTGAAGATTAAGTTTCGACAACATTTTTAAAAATGATTGGAAAGAACAACGACCCTGTTTTAAAGGAAATTTGGGAAATAAGATTATTCCTTTTAAGTGTAACAGGTCTTAGCAATACACTAATTGTAAACAGAAATTAAAGAGAAAATAAAAACACCATATTTTTCCATAGGCTACCAGGTTTACGTCGTAGGTCGTAAAGACATAACATTAGCCATCGAATAATAGATATATAACGAGAGCATCCTGGAACATACTGGTCGGTACTCGAGTGGAAAGAGTTAATGATTCGTAAAATAATATAAAATAATAATGAATATCCAATATAATACGTTTATAATGTCTACATACATATACAATAGAATATAAAAGGTAGAATAAGAAAAATATCGTATAACACATAACTGTGCTATTGTAAAAAGGATCTTGAAGAAGTCAACAAGCAACGGATGGCCACGTAGCAAGTTCGATGTTTCTGAATTTAGCACAGATGTCCGCGATACCGTAACGGTAAGGAAACTGTACAATGTTGAAGTCGTAGTCAGCATTGACAAAAATTGCGTTGATCGATGGTAGATGAAATTTATTGGTCAAATCGTCCTCTTGAATTTCACCAGTTATCGGATTCATATAAGCGCAACGAGTTTTTGCTAAAACGCAGGCAGTTGTGTTGACGAACAGTTGGCTTAGATTGACGTCCGTTAAATTGAAGTTGGGAAACATTCGAAAGGCCTCGCCTACGCATTCTCGTAACTGTGGAAAGAATTGGTTGGAGAAGAAACCATTTGGATAATCTTGTATAGAATAAAAACAAACATATTACAGCATCTTGTTATATATTTTTTGTTCTTTTACTGTACAATAATATTTACAATGGATCATTATATTAGAGGTGTGTTTTAAGGTAAAAGTATTTAATCCATTTGCATTCATGTATTAAATATTCTAATTATATCAATTTGAGACACTCAACCGACCATCGACTTGTATGTGCATTTTATTTTAAGTTATATAATTAAATTATTTTCACATTTTAATTTAAATTAGGAGTATTAATCGAGTACTACCAATGGCAATAGAAGAGATCACATTTTTTTGTAATTAACTAACAATTTCGAATTTTTTTTTGACACGCTTGGATTATTACGCTTACAGATGCAAATGGTTTAAACGCAACCTTGGATATAATAAAATAATTTACCTTCAAATATATATACAAGATAAAAAGAAATGAACAATGTGTAGTTCGTCGATGGGAAAGATTTTTATGAAACACATAGATTGTAGTTGTATAATACATGCTAATTACATAGAAAAGGATTTCATATATTTACACGTTATACAGGTAGGTACACACAAATACATATGTATATAAATATATATATATATATATATCTATATATGTACAAGGCACGTTCATTGACTCGTATGTGGACTCTTGGTGCATGTAATTAAAGCGGCGAAGATGTGATTTGGACCAAGTTTCTAGTTAGGATTTTCGAGGACTATTAGGACCTTGGATCGATGGGCTCTGCTCCGGGTCGTACGGTAATGAAATCGGCGCTTTGCTCTCTGAATACGCAAACAGCTCTCAAAATGCGAGGATATACTTTTAATATAAAGCCGGAATTCATCCTTCGTGTTTTCCAGTTCATCGTAACTCCTTTTTCTCTTATGGCAGCACGCCGAAAAGCGTCCTATACAATATTTACAACGTACGTCTTTTTAATAGCTTTATCGTCCTCGATTTTCATGCTACTCGAAGAAGAGTGAAGGCGGTATATTTTATTATTCCAATTGGATTAATATAATATTTTACATAACGAGCAAACATTTGACCTACTCTCTTATTTACATATTTATTTTTAGCGAGCAAAAAATCTACGTACGTATTTACATATTTATATATAAGTAATATTTACACCTTCTCAACCGAGAATTAAAAAGTAAACTAAAAAAGATATTAAAATATTGAAGCATAAAATAAGCAAAAAATGATTTGATACATTACCAGGGTGTCCTTGTTAACTTGCCGAATACATTGGAGGAAAGTACAGTAAATCGTAACAGGACCGACTCTGTTGCTAAAGTTATTCGTAGCATTCTGTAAGTAACAATTACGATTTCAAAAGGAAAATGATCAATTTAATACGCACGTATACACCTGTGCGTGGAAATGATTTCACCGTCTTGTTATCTAATTAGCTTACTCTCAAATATACTTGGCAATGACCATAATCTGTATTATTCAGGTACATATCCGCACAAGTAGACATTGCTAATAATAACGGATATCCCGTGGATTGGCTACTAGCACGATAAAAGCAACCGTAACAGGCATCGCGTCGCGTAACGTTGGCACCTTGGGATTCGTTGCACAATTGATTTAATAACTCGGGAATCCTTACACTGTAATAACAGAAAGAATTTTTGTAATGAAAAGTTAAAAGATATTTAAGTTGACCTACTTTTTGATTGTAGCCAGGGTACCGAATAATTTGGATAAACCATCTGGTATAAGAGCGTCCCCGTTGTTGAGAAAAATGAAAGATATCAGAAAAAGTAATAACACCGAGTACCTGGCCATCGTGGCTTTAACGCGCGTTTTGCGGAAATATCCCTGCTTAGGTTTCCTTTTATACCGAGATATGAATCGCGTCGGACGGCATCGAACCGAATCGTAGAGATTTTTCTATATATTGTACATACAAACGTTCGTTCGAGCATGGTAATATTAAAAACAAAATATAGGTCACTATATTATAATAGTACGTGAAAATTAGTTTACGTTAGTTAAACGGAAGTACCGTCCGATTTTTTAACAATGCCAGTATAGATAGTATACGGCACGGACGTTCCTCGTTACGTTCTTGGTTAATCGTCAAGCCGATTATAAAACAAATTTGTTTTCGGTCGTATGAGGAGAAGAGGATGACGAGGAATGATGGATGGAAGAATCCTCGAGGAAGATAATAATAATAATAATAATAATAATGATAATAATAATAATAGTAATAATAAATGTGAGAATGGAGCTTACCTTGTTTATTTATCACTCGTAACACGTAACTCTGACAGTTACATCGTAAACCATTATTATTTCATGAAAATAGAGCGTAAATAGAAGACGGAAGAAAGGATGAACTCTCTGCACGGGTGAGACAGGTGAAACGCGCGGTTTGTCGCGGATACGCGATCCGATCCATCGGATGAATTGTGTCTGGCTTCATTATCACGACAAAATGTCGACGCACGTATTCGCCGATCTGGAAACGATACTTCTATCGGATGGATTCACTGGAATTAGTTCTGCACTTTCGCGCATCCCAAATAATTTCAAATTATCGGGGAATTATCGATTAATTATACCGAATCACGAAAAGAAAATTTGCCGACGGTTTATACCGAGTACGTGTCTCGTGCTGTTTAATTCTACTTTGATACTTTGCATCATAAGCTAATTCATTGTTTTTCCTTTTTATCCTTTAATTTTGATTATTTCTTCTACACTTTCCTTTATTTGTATTCTCTTTCCTTTTTAAGTCCGATAAGAGTATTAGTAGAACCCGGAAATTGATCGAAATCCCGTAGTGCGTAGTCACATTAACTTCACCATTTGCTTCCACACACACATACAGGCCCATTTTCCTCCCTACCGATTGTACAAAAGCGATGCTTTCGTGTCAGAAAGAAGAGTAAGAAAAAAAGAAAGAAAGAAAGGAAGGAAGGAATTAACGGATGAAAAAAGAAAGAAAGAAGTAAACGCAGGTGCACGGTAATCGCCTAAATTAAGCGCAAGTACACGTGTGTTTTTCACGTCAACAAATTTTAACTCGTTCGTGGATATATAGAAAGAGAGAAAGAGAAAGAGAAAGAGAGGTAGAGAGAGATGCTCTTTCTCGTTTTAATGTCGACTCGGTATGCTTTTAGCGGTGAGTATTAACAGTTATAACACTCTACAAATTCTCGCATGATGGATTCGAAGTAGAAAATAAGAAAATGAGGTAGGTAGAAAAAATTGCAATAAAATGAGAAGAAAGAACTTCTATTTGTTAAAAGCATTTTTATTTATATCGATTTTTATTTCCTTGCGATTAAAAGCAAGTATTTAAATACTTGTTTATTTTTTTTACATCTAAAGAAAGGTTGATACAGTTTTAATTATCTAGCCATTGTTTATATGAAACGTATCTTTTTAAAGTGATATAAATCCATTTGGAGATAAAGAAAATATTTTGTATAATCATTTTTCTTTAACAGTTTTATTAACAAACGTATTAACATGCCATAAATTATTTAGAATAGAATTACTGTAAAACCTTTACTATTCGAATTAATTGGGAGACATAACTGTCAAATCAAATTCATATCGAAGTAATAAGGAAGATATAATATTGTACGAAGGATGCACTACGTTGTCGACTATTTGTTTTAATATTGTAATAGATGACATAAACAGTAAAGTTGCATACACGGTGTTCAAATAATAGAATCGATTTCGATAATGGGACCCTATTTGAATAGTAAAACTTCGGATACTGTTCGTTTCTACTGTCCTTCTAAAACTATCTTATGCGCGTTCATTTGATAAATCTATTCGCATTCGTTGAGCAAAAGCTCAAACGAAGTTGCAATATAAATTGGAAATAAGACGGATAAGAAGGGTGGTGGACTTTGGGAAGTAATTTTGTTTCGTCTTCTTAGGAAATAAATTCAAGTAGATTTGGAATAGTTGGGGAAGGGGGATTGGATCGAGTTACCGGTCACCGAATGACGCTACTTTTGTCGAGAAAGAGAAAGAAACTTGATCGACAACTAAGCGCAGCTGTCATCGTCGTGCGGTATCTCTCTTTCTCTTCTTTTCCATGACATTTTTCTTTTTCGCCCCCAGAGGCGCAACCCTGACGACGCGACGATGTTTTTAAGAAATCGCCGGGAAAATGCAGCTGTCGTCGTCGCGACGAGGCCTGGATATGATGCATGGATTTCTTTGATGTCACGTTAAAGTCCTCGCGAATGAAAGAGGACCTCTTAATTGGACGATGCTTTTCTCTATTGCGGTTTTTTCAACATTTTAGTTTCTCTCTCTTTTTCCTTTGTTTTTTTTTTTTTTTTTTTTAATTTTTTATTTTATCACTCACATTTAGATATTTTGCCGAGGATCGACGTTAATTGTGCAATAAATTTTCTTACGATACCAAATATATTCGTTCGTCGTCGATTGTATATGTTTGGTTGTTTAGCAAAAGCCACAGGGCGTGTTGCCGTACATAGTCTCGTAGATACTTCCGCAAGAGTGTATAGGAGTTTCGAGGGAGTTGGTAGGGAAACTAGACAGTATACCAGCGTACTAGGAGAGACTATACACCCGCATCTTTGCTATTTATACGTCAAACGTTAACTGTAGAGAGGGATGCTAGAGGGCTCGTTCTAGATGCTACCTGAATTGAGCAAAAAATGCGAACCGAGAGAGAGAGAGAGAGAGAGGGAAAGAGAATTCGAGAAATTTGATGCAAGAGAATATTATGACGTGATTGGTTCACACAAGAATCTTTTCCCTTAAACCTCTTCGTTAATAATAAAGAGTACAAAGATTTCTGCAACATCTTGCGTTTAACGTATACTCTAAGTCAGCTATGTCTAACATCAAGGCCCACGTTATAGACAAAATCTCGAAATAAATAGAAAATAGATTTTTTATTATTAATACATACGCGACCGACGTTTATTCGAGAGAGTCGTTTTGCTGGATATTGTATTTGAAATATATATATGTTGCAACTTCGTTTTGGCGGGCCGCGAATTTGACATGGCTGTTGTAGATTGTAAAAGGAATGAGAGATATAGCTAACCATTTACGCGTATCCGCAGTGTATTTTTTCCAAGCGTCTGCTCTTATGGAATCGTGCATGGTGGCAACCCTCGACCAAAAAAGGCAAGCTGCTTGTTCGAGCTCGTTTTGAGCCCACGGATCGTTAACTTTATGAAAACGAGCGTGCCCCTGCGTGCACTTTCCTCCCCCTTCCTTATACCTATTTTTCCCTTTCACGTCTATCGACGAATATCGTAAGAAATTAGCGGTGTAACGCACGCCGCGATAAAAATCAGTTGGTTGCGCGAAAGGTCGCAGGAATCGTTCCCGAGGGTACGATCGTTTGAGAAAAGCACATTATCGTTATCGTATCGTTAGATATTCCCATTGATGTAGCCCGAGGACCTTTGGTTATTCGTTCTTCTATCGATTGGAAATTCGAAAGTTGGTGCGAAATTGTGCGAACGATTATACGTTCGCAGAATAGATAAGAATAATGCACGATTGAGTCTCAACAGCCAATTCTTTCTTCCAGTTCTAAGACACCATACTGCTTGGCCTGTTATTCAAAAGGCTTAACGGTAATACTAACATTCCTATTGCTTTCCTTTCCTCTTGTTTTTTTTTGTTTTGGTTCGGTTCGGTTCGATTCCCCTACAGTACTTTTGCCACTTGCTTCGTTCGTTCGTAAGTTGAACGACACGTGGGTATTGTATTACATCTGTGGACTTCCGAAAAAAAACGCATATTCTCGGTAATGCAAATGTCGGCGATTGGTGCGCGTGACAAATGTAAGCTCGCGACACTTTTGAGAAGCCGAGAATACGCTCGTTAATTTTAACGACCCCATCGAAGCGATGCTTGTATATACATGTATCTGCAGACACACCCATACATACACACCGGCGCCTACCATCCGTACTCGTTTCTCCTCGTTTCGTGTCGATTCTGTCCTAACAGTTGCTGTTACCAATGCGTCAGAGTTTGCGTCAGAACTGGCGTCCCTACTTTTTCAATTGCAATGTCTTCTAGTTCGCGATGCAAACTTGTATATATGTAAATACTTATGTTAGTATATTTACTTATACATCTTACATTAAACATATTTTTCTTATTCTTCTTCTCCTTTATTCCGATGCTTTAAAATTGCGTAAATGTTCGTTGTCGCACTTGCGCGTATCGCACGTCAATACACGAGGGGCGAGGGGAGGAACTTGAAGGAAAAACATACGCACCTGAGTGCACGCTAGCCAATGGTATGGTTGGAAGTCGCTTAAATCGCTGTAATTAGAAGATAGGAAAAAAGTGATAGGTGAGGAGAAGAGAGGAGAAGGGTTGGGAAATCGGACAGAACTGCGACATCACGGCATCGTGACACGTGTCTCACGAGCCACGTGTCCGATAAGTCAGGAGTACGTGCGAAACGAACTCTATTACAGCCTGAAACGATGCCGAATAATTATCCGTTCTTTTAACGAACCAACGTCACTCGATCTTTTTTCCTTTTCCTACGATATACATACATTTATTCTCCTCTTTTACGTTTTATCGAAAAAAAACAAACAAAAAAGAATAAAGAACACAAACATCCCTGTAAAAAATATATATAACAAACAATAAATAAAAATTCAAAGTCTTAAAACCCCCGTAGCTTTGATCGATCGAACACGATCGACGTAATTATTATAATAATGCACACATACATATATACGTATATTTTTATATTTTTATTTCCCTACTCTCAACTAAATTTCTCTCCTGTTAATGACAAAAAG